TCGCCTCCTAGCGGTGCGATTAGAGAATTGAGATGTCCTTCAAGATAGCTGAGCTCGATTGGTTTCCGGGTCATAGGATGGAGGACGGAGGAGCGAGGAGACGAGGAGGGATATTGAGAAGCACCCACTGTGAAGTCTCCGGGTCGGATTTACCGCGAAATCCAACGGATGTGACGTGCATGCGCGCTCCCGAGCCTCTCTCCTTATATACAGTCTATTGTAGACGGTCAGGGAGTTACGTCCGGTTAAAGGCGCACGTTTTTCGGCTTATATCTCAGTCAATCTTTGATCAATATTCCCAAGACTCTAATCGTTCGTAGTGCTGGACGGGGCCTTTCGAACGAGCCCACCCCCGAGGTCCAACTCGCCCTGCTCCCCGAGTTATAGCCGTTCGAAATCGGGGGTCCCAGCGAACAGCGATCCGGTAGGGGGCATCCCCGAGGCCCGCCACTCTAGCGTTCGGGCAAGGGTTCCCCAGGGACCTCCTCCCCCGAATTTGAGCTCTCTGGGTCTTTGCGTTCCAGAGATACGAGCGATTTTCTTCTGAGATCGTGACGTCACCGGCGTCCGCAATTTTGCAGCGCGCCCGATGGTTTTCTGCTAATATCTCCGCGAAAACACCACCAAAAACTATGGAACTTATATGGTTCTTTTCAGCTCGACTAGATGGTCCCAACGAGCTCGGTGCTCGCCGAATCCGTCTAGTATTCGCCGAGATATTTGCGTAATAGACGGTATTGTCTATGAGTTCAAGCACGAGCGCTCTTGTAAAATTTGCTTGCAATCTGAAACATCACCACTAGAGGCCGCTAAAAGTTACATAGAGCACCTTTAAATTTAAATGCATATTTTTGAATTTGCTGCATTTTTAAACATTATTTGGGATTTTTACATTGTGACCAGGACAGGTTAAATTAAATGTAGCCTATTTTACAAGCATAGAGCATGTATTTAAAATAAAACTAAATAAATTATTTAAAAATAAAAGCAATGAATGTCCTGAGTATCCAGATTTTCTTTAGATGTAACTTTTCAAGTATTTTTATTTTGACGAATTTCTTTATTTTTAACGTAAAGAGGGCTTTTGTGTTTGTGTGTGTGTGTGTGTGTGGGGGGGGGGGGGGTGTACATATATATATATATATATATATATATATAGGCCTATATATAGTTTTTATTAGGAAACAATATTATTTAATATAATATATAAACATAACAATATATATATATATATAAATATTGTTTTTATATAGGCTATATGTAAAATACAATTGGTAAATGTTGGCTATGTGGCAAGTTAATCTCAGCCTGTTTGACATTGCGAAACTCATTATGATTCAGGACCTTCTGGATACGACAGCAAACAAAGAGTGTTTGAACATCTTTATAATTGATTAAATTTCGATAACACATTTGAAAACCAGATTTGCATTTCCTGAAGGAATTCCTGTAGACCTACCTTCTCGGAAGGCAGAAATCGTTTTTATGAATCACTATTGACACTTTCACAATGTTTGTGGGGTTTGTGCCTAGAGCACTATGGCCTACTTTGTACTTTTTGAATAATAATAATATTTAAAAAACTGTCAATTTCGCTTTATTCAATTTCCCGATATTAGGTAGACCTACACTGTCTTTTAAATTTAATTTTTTTAAAACAAACGCAAATTGATGTGCATTCAGCAAGCATCAATATTCAATCCCCATACATGACTTTAAATATAAGTAGGATGATGACAGAGAATCAACAAGGTAATGGAAAGGAAATGTTTAAACATCCAAATGTCTCTAGAGGCAACGACAAACATAGGTCGCATCTTCAATTAGTCGTAACGGGTTTCAGAGAATTAGGTTTCAAACATGTCAAACAGACCGTGACAAGGCTAGTATACACAGCTCTGCTGGAATGTAGATCAAATAATGGTCCTATAAATGTTTGGGTTAGCTTATAAAAGTTTTTGTATTTATGGCTTGTATTGTAGCGCTTATATTTTGAATTAATCAAAGACAGCGATTTGTGAACACATCAAATTTTGACATCAAGTACAATAACAACAAGAAAAGCTAAAAAAGAAAGACAATATTTTTTTTTTACATTTCCAGGGTTTTTAGAAGCAGAAGTCATAGTTGGGTAAACTCATAACCTATAGTGGTGAATGGAAACTACAACAATAGCCTATACCATAGCGTTTATATGAATTTGTAAAAGAGGTAAAAAAAAATATCGCGAGATTGATTACGTTGCAGAGAGAAAGATTTGCCATGTGATTAATTTGCCATCATTTCTGAAACATTAAGCAGCGTCAAAGTCCTTTTAGGCAAGTCATGCCACTCGGCCGCCATCTTGGCAACGCCTCCGGGCAGCTATTTCGGACTAACAAGACCAGGCTCCTATCTAAATGAATGGGCAGAGACCCAGAACTGCACTTTCACTGGTCACCGGGACATAAAAACTGCATGTATACAAACACTAATAAAATATGATAAAAATCGCTGAAAAAGTGTGATGACTTTGCCCCAAAATAAGGGTTAAAACGCCTTTTTCCCCACAGGTTATACTTTTACTACGCATGCGCAAGGGTTCTCTCGCTCTCTGTCGTGCGCGCGCTACTGCTCGCTCGCTCTAGATTCCGGGAGATTTGAACTAATTTGCGGTCATCAGGAAGCCGCTATCAATCTGCGGGAGACTCCCGGAACTTCCGGGAGACTTGGGATGTCTGATATTTACACAACTAACACATCAAATCTGCCGCCTTTTCAAACAGTAACATATTTTCCGCTGTCGCAAACCTCAACTGTGCGCATGCGTCGGTGGAACCAGACGATAGGCTTAAATGTTTTACGGCTTGACTGTTAAAAGCAGACGATTGGCTTTCCAGCGGGAGGGGCGGGGCATGTGCATACAACCGCCATCTTTGGCGTTACGGGTTTTCCCTATATAGTTGTATTAAGGATTGGGGAAGTGGCATGTCTCTATATAAATAGTCTCTGGCAGCGTTAACCATTTTTCTGTAATTTCATGCTAATAAAACACAAAGTATTATAAAGTGTTATAAATGTAGATTAATAAATGTGGAAATGCATCATCACAGTCTATGAGGGGTCCATCTCAGTTGTCATCAAATTTTTTCGACTTTTGTTGTTTCAGTGCCTCCTAAAAAAAATTGAAAATTGAAAAAAATAAAAATAATCCGGTGCCCATCCTAAATACGCAATAAAAAAATATGCGCACACACACCACAACTATGGAAGCTTGTTTCCGCCACAGAATTTAAAAAAGAAAAAAGAAATTGCGACTTTTTATCTCACAATTCTGACTTTTTTTCTCGCAATTGCAAGTGGACAGCTCGCAATTCTGACTTTTTTTAATTGCAAGATATAAACTCATGATTGCGAGGTATAAAGTCAGAATTCCTTGATTTTTTTTCTTCAGAATTGGACTTTACATCTCACAATCTGAGAAAAGTCAGAATTGTGAGTTATAAAGTCAGAATTGCGAGATATAAACTCAAACTATTGTGAGTTTATATCTCACAATTCTGACTTTTTTCCCTCACAATTGCGAGTTTAATTCTCGCAATTCTGACTTTTTTCTCAAAATTGCGAGAATTAAACTCCCAGTTGTGAGTTAAAAAAGTCAGAATTGTGAGATAAAGTCTCAATTATCTTTTATTCCGTGGCGGAAACAAGCTTCCATACTACCACGGAATAAATAAAAAACTAAAAGATAATTGTGACTTCTTTTCTCTCAATTGTGAGGTATAAACTCACAATTGCTAGTTATAATTTCAGAGTTGCGGGAAATAAACTTGCAATTGCGAATTTATATCTTTTAATTCTGACTTTTTTTCTTACAATTCGAAAAATGTTCTCACAATTGTGAGTTTATATCTCACATTTCTAAGAAAAATGTCAGAATTGTGAGTTTATATCACGCAATTCTAAAGAAAAAAGTCAGTCGCAATTGCATTTTTTATTTTTTATTCAGTGGCGAAACATTAGCGTCAACACCCGACGCATATTAACATTTGTTTAATAAATCCGCACACTGCAGTTTTGTTGTCTGCCACTTTAAATGCTATGAGCTCATTAAAAAAGGTGGATTCGGACTGAATGTCATTGTCGGTTTTTATCGTCCATTAGCTGAAAAAAAGTTCCGAAAGTGATTCCAACGAAATATCATTATCGTTATAGTTGTGGTGTGGACATCCCAATTAGAAGCTTTATAGTTATAGGCCTAGTTATCATCATTGGTGTGAATGGGACTTAAAGCCCTTCACTTAAAGCTGCACTATTATGCCTGCGATCATCACAACACCTGCTGTTTACAGAGGATTTGATGACTAATCATCCAGAAAGACGTCTAGGCTATTAATAATATAAATCTTACAAGTTAGTTTTATAGATTAAGCAACACATACAAGACAAACAAAATTCGATTTATTGTATTATGATAGTTATTTTTAAAGCAATGTCAAAATGAAAATGAAGAGATTGAAGCCACTTAATTTTAATAAAACAAATATATATATATATATATATAAACATGCAAAATTATAGAATTGATTGCTTGATTATCTTTTTAAAACTTAAAAAAAAAACTTTTTCCAGCAGATAACTTTATAACATATGCAAAGCACAAGGGTTTCGCAGATGCCTTAAATGTAAATGCAAGGTAGACATTTAGGGTGTGAATTTTACAGCGTGTTGAGCACCCAAGATACAATCAAACCAACCATCACATCCTTGTTTAATTTGAGATAATAACAGAGATAAACACTATTGTGAGTGACAGAAAGTGTTTTTTTTTGCCACCAGGGTTTGCATAAACAATGTTTATTCTCAAACACAGCTATTCTCATTCAATGGAAAGATAACATGCCATAATAATGCATAAGCCTGGGATCCACCTTCTGATCACAGAATAGGTGGTCCCAAAGTAAACTAAGAGCTAGTATATAAGAGCTAATGCGGACAGACAGCACACTTTAGCTCTTGAGGATGGATGTCTCCACAGGGACCGTGAGGATGTCCCAGATGTGGATGCTGAAATGGGTCGTTCTACTGGTGGGGCTGCAGTCCGTACAAGCAGGTTAGAAAAATAAAAAATGATCAGTTACTGATAAGAAACGCTCACAATATTAGCTACACAATATGACTGTATCTGTCTTTCTTTGTTTAAAGACTTTATGAGCGATTATGGAGGAATGGCAGATCCGGACTTTATGTGGCCAACAACAACAGCAGGTGAATATGGCATTATACTGTATGAGATGTACTAATTATTGATTCATAAAGAAACTATAAAGTAACACACTTATTAACAGATGCCAAATAGAACTAGTGCTTTATGTATGTCTAAATGGATATACACATTACACTTATGACACAAAAAGCATGTTCAAGTTTCGATTGATTTATTGAAGTATTATTCATGCAATTCAAACAGCCAAATCATTACAATTTAGCTAAGCTTTTTTTTATTTAGAGTGATTGTAGAATATTGTGAATGTAATTTTTCATTTTGAAGTATGTGACAAAAAATGACAACAGGTCTGTCTTTTTCTGTTTTTAGCATTCCCCACGACAAGTGTGCTGGTCACTACCGGTATGATGTTACTCTTTCTTTCTTTCTTTTTAATATAAATGCAAAAATATTTAAAGTGGTCATGACATGGATTTTTAAAAAATATATATATATTCCTTGAGGTTCCCTTATAATGTAAAAAAAAAAAAAAAAAAAACACATTTTTTTTTTTTACATCATGTGGAAAAGCAATTATTCTCCACCCTCATTTTGACCCTCTGTCAGAAATGTTCAGTTTTTAAGGGGCAGCTCTTTTAAGGCGTGTCAGTAAACGGCCACTGTTATGATTGGCTAATGTCATTGCATAGGAAACAGTATAAACACCCACTTGCTATTGCACGTGAGTAAGTGTTCAAAAAACATTATCCTTTTAAATCGTCATTTACAGACAAAGCATTATGAAATCATTTACTTACGGTCCGGTTTGTGATGCTGCAGTCAGATCCAATACAGTTTAGCTGCTTCATCTTTCAACAAAAGTTTCTTTGCGAACTCTTCATTACACGGTGCCTCGTTTACAAACATATAATCCTCCGGCGTGATTCGGAACGCCATTAAAAACGCGATGCTCACATACAGGGTAGGCCAGCGGGCAGGTGCGATGTTATATAACTATTCGTCAATGTCTTGCTCTGGAGGCAGGCATATGCAAATGTATTTGCCCGTGTGACATCACAGATCTCACAATATCCAAACGAGTCGTTTTTGGAGCTTGATTAAAATAAATTATCTGTTTATAATGAGGTGAATGTTTTAAGCTATGAAACTTGCAGGATGTTTTAATGATACAAAGACCTCTTATATGTCAAAAGATCAAGGCAAATTTGATTTCTCATGTTATGACCCCTTTAAAATGTTAGTATTAGTGTAGGCCTATACAACATTTTACACTTTAGGAGACTAAAAGATTTTTTGAGAGACAACTATATGTTATTCATTGGCTTATTCCCTCAAAAAGTAGGTGGTGCAATCAAATCATTGCTTAGTACGTATAAGCAATATTAGCACAACCAAATTTTGTTTGGTGCCACTAATGGCATAGAAATTATGCACTTCACCTTCAATTGTGTATTCAAGAGAAGTATTTAGTACAAATCACAATATGTATATTTATACGTTTTCTCTCTTGATTCAGTTGAAATGAATCCTGATCATCAGTCCACGATCTGCAGCACATGGGGAAATTTCCACTTCAAGACATTTGATGGTCATTTCTTTCAAGTGCCAGACACGTGCAACTACGTTCTGGCGGTGATGTGTGACAGCACAAATTCTGACTTTAACATCCAAATGCAAAGAGAGACTGTGAATGACTCAATCACTTTTAGCACAGTCACAATAAAGCTGGAGGGGACAGTCATCAAAATCACTAATGGAGACATCACTATGGGAGAAGAAATGTGAGTTCATTTGAGTACTATACAGCAAAAGCACACACATACATTTTCTTAATATGAGCATTTTTCATCTGGTATTTCAGTATTTTTATTTATTTAAATAAATAATACATAATTAAGAATATCTAAAAATACATTTCTTATTTTAAGCATAAATGTAACTACATTTTGTGAGATTTATGCTTTAAAGAATAAAATAATCAAAGGTGGGGTTAGAAAAAAAAAACTAATTCAATATATATATTCTCTTACAAAATATTTATCTTAACCAGTATTTCAACTAAATTTATTTTAAGTTTATGAAATTTTAGCTTGAAAAAACTTTTTCAGTAATGTTGACTTTTGTTTAATTTTGTATTGCTTTGACAGGGTGTCTGTTCCAACCTATAATAACGGAATTAAAATCGAGGGAAGTTCAACAAGTGTCAAGATCTCAAACAAACATGGAGTGACAGTCTTCTGGGAGGAAGACAACTCTCTAACGGTATGATTCAACATCTCTGTGTACACATCATTTTATCTTGAAGCTTGATCTCAGACTTCTGATATTAGAGTTGTTGTTATATGATGTTCCCCAGATTGAACTTCCTGAGAAGTATCAAGAACAGACCTGTGGACTTTGTGGAAACTACAATGGCATCAAGACTGATGATATCACTGTTCACGGTAAACCTGATGTCTTGAATTCATCAATGCCTAGATTTTCATATAAAGATTTAAATACAGCAAGTTAAGTGACCAATAGACACATACTGAATCTCTAAAAACTCCCATGCAAACAGTGAGGTAATAATTTTTTTTACATTTTTTTTTAACAAATGTAAAAAGATTGGGTCCAACTTTACCTTCCTAAAGGCTTAGAAGGGTCATCTTGAAGCCTAATTGGAAGTGTGTTGAGGCTTCCTGGTTGAGAACCACTGACTTAAAGATAGGTTTAGTGTAACATGTTCATCTGAATCCTTCTCAGGTTCGGCCACATGGAAGGTGTCCATATCGGCGGAAACCTGTGAGGAAGTTACACTTCAACCCACTGATCAGTGCAACCAGGTATGAGACAAAATCAATGTTGTTCTGTTGTTCAGATTTTGGGTGCCCTTTTAAAATAAAACAATGGGAAATTTCATATTAAATTCAACCATTTACTGATTGAAACATTGGTTGCAATGAGACAATCCTCTTAAATGATATATTTTCCCCCCCTAGACAAGTGTTTGCCAGCAGTATCTCCGCAGTCCAGGGTTTAGCGACTGTTACAATGTGATGGACATGGGTTCATTTGAAGAAGCCTGTGTGAACGACCTGTGTCAATGTTACGGCAATCACGACTGTCTCTGCAACACACTCACGGAGATTTCACGACAGTGCACACATGCTGGAGGAAATCCAGGAACATGGAGGACAGAGCAGCTCTGCCGTGAGTATCAGTTCTGGAACATGACATTAGTTATGATGGAGAGAAAAATGTAAGTTCTCTAACTTAAGAGAACAGTTCACCCAAGAATGAAACACGTTTATTTTCTCACAAATAAATAAAGGTTTTTAAGAAGACACCCGGAATATTATCTAATAATATAAAACTGCCTAAAATAACACAAAAAACTAATAAAAAAGTAAGCTTTTGAAGTAGACACTTCCACATAATTATATTTTCTGCATTGATGTGTTACCTTTTTAGCAGGAGGGCAATTGTAGGGCAAGTAAATACAGAAAAAAATGCTCTGTTTCTTATAACAAATGTTATAAAATGTTTCATATGTTCTTCTGTGGAGCAGCAAAGACATGTCCTCTAAACATGCAATACCTGGAGTGTGGAAGTCCATGCAAGAACACCTGCAAAGATCCAAACGCAAGTCTAATGTGTAACGAACACTGTGTGGACGGCTGTTTCTGCCCTGAAGGTAACAATTTAAAATAGGTAACAGTTTATAGCTGAAGATTTTTTTGAAAGAAGTCTCTTATGCTCACCAAGGCTGCATTTTTATATTAAAAATACAGTAATATTGTGAAATAGTGTTACAACTACTTTTTTCAGGATTCTTTGATGAATAATGTTCAAAAGCGCAGCATTATTTTGAAATAGAAATATTTTGTAACATTATAAATATCTTTACTGTCATTTTTTAATTATTAAATACATCCTTGCTGAATGAAAGTATTCATTTATTTTTCTTACTGACCCCGGACTGTTGAACTGTAGTGTATAATCAATGAATGTCAGCATGTACAGACTCTAAATGAACTCATCAGCTCTCAAAAATATATATCTGATGCCCTAGAAAACACATTTACGCAATTGTTTGGCTTTCTTTATGTAAAGGCACCGTGGAAGACGACATTGGTCAGAGTGGATGTGTTCCTGTGAACCAGTGCCCATGTGATCACGATGGCACAGTATATCAATCAGGAGAGTCTTACAAACAAGCTTGTAAAAAATGGTAATATTTTTATTAAAATATTTAAGTCACATTCAAATTCATATACATTTACCGGTATACATTTCCCCATGCTAACACTGCTGTGTTCTGTGTCAGTGTGTGTGACGCGGGACACTGGACCTGTACACACCGGGAATGTCCCGGAATCTGCTCTGTTGTGGGAGGGTCTCACGTCACCACTTATGATGGAAAGAGCTTCACCTTCAGCGGGAACTGTGACTACATCCTCACTAAGGTCTGTCAGGATATCAGATGACCCACAGATATTTTCTGTCAGGGCGAGATCAATGAAAGTCTTCACTTGTACTCTTAATCACATGGTTTATTTAAAAATCAGGAAAGCGGGTGCATTAAAATTTAGATTGAATCATTATGTAAAATGTGGATGTTCTGACCTTTTTTTATTCCAGCACTCTAATGACAGTGATATTGCTGTCGTGGGAAATCTGGCAGTGTGTGATCCGGCCCGAACAGACACATGTCTAAATTCAGTGACCCTTGTCATCTCAGGGACCACTGTAAGTACTGGGTTTAAATAATTATAAATAATTGAATAATTCTTGCTAATAATAATACTAATACTGACTACAATGAGCAATAATAATACAGTCTTAATAATAATATATCTTTCTTGATGTTCTATCAATAAAACAGATTAGTTTCTCCTCCATTGGAACTGTTGCAGTGAATGGAATCAGTCCAAATGTGCTTCCTGCTACCATAGGTGGGTTTTTACAAATATATGGGAACTTTTTATTTTGTCATCATTACATATAAAAAATAACTTCCTTTTTCAATAATTTTGTTGTCCCAGGTCCTGTGAGCATCTTCCAGCCCTCTTCCTCCTTCATTATTGCTGATATGAAGAGTCTTCGTCTAGAGATCCAGTTGGCTCCAGTCATGCAGTTGTATATTGTAGCCAGCACTGAAGAGAAAGGAAAAATGAGTGGTAAGTTGGAAAAAATATACTGCAGATTTTAAATATGTGTATTGTTTTCTGAAAAAGTCATTTTTTATTTGTAGGAAATAGATTTCTAATGAACTACTTTTAACCATGTTGCTCTCAGGTCTCTGTGGAAACTATAACGACGTCCAAACAGACGACTTTAAAACTGGATCAGGCATGGTAGAGGGCACACCAACCAACTTTGTCAACTTTTGGAAACACACTTGTCCAGATCTTGAAATCACATTTGACAACCCCTGCAGCCTGAATATGGACACAGGTGCTTACTGCATTAAATAAGAACAACACGCTCACAATATTCATGTTACAGTGATAATTTCATTGTTTTCTTGACATAGTAGAAAAAAATCACTACATTTTCAATTCTGCCGCGCTAAACAAAATAAACAAGCAAATCTCCTGTTTTTGTTCTCGTAGAGAAACTTGCGAAAGACTGGTGTTCCCGTCTCACAAACCCAAATGGGACCTTTTCCACATGTCACTCAGAAATAGATCCTGAGATGTACTACCAAGTAAGTCTTTGTACATAAAACACTCTTCTCTTTTGAAATGTACTGTGCAATTGTGCTCCTTAATGCATGCATTCAATCTGTTTTTTCTTTGCAGTGGTGCGTCTATGACACGTGCAAGTGTGCAGATATTAAAAAGTGTATGTGTGCGGCCGTGTCCACTTATGCCCACGCATGTGCTGCCAAAGGAGTCATTCTCCAGGGCTGGATGGATTCAGAACCCTGTGGTGAGAACATTATAAAGTACACATTCAAACAAATATTTATATGTGTACTCTGTTTCAAATTAGCCTCTGTTTGTCTCTTGCTATATAGACATGATTTCAAAGTGTCCAGAAAACATGAAGTACTCCTACAGCGTGAAAAGCTGTGGAAGCACCTGCCGTTCTCTCAGTGTACATGATAACACCTGCCAAGGGTCCTTCACACCTGTAGACGGCTGTGTCTGTCCTGTGGGAACATACCTCAACGAAGCCGGCAGCTGTGTACATGCTGACCAGTGTCCTTGTTACTATGAGAACCAAGCCATAGAGCCATCAGCAGTGTACTACAAAGATGGTTCTAAATGGTATAAATAGCAGTTTAACATATGCATAATGTATCCATTAACTTTTTTTCTTTACCATTTTTAAACAGTTTTTTTTTACCCTCACTCAATAGCCCTGTACTGCCAAATTAAAAATATTTTTTTTAAATTAGAAGCATAATAATTGCTGCAAAATGCCGTTTAAAATGATTTTAGATGTAGCATGTCCCAAAAGCATACACCCATATAACAATAACCTGCATTATAAACTCTTGATAGTGGATTTTTAGTAATTTATGCACTGTTTTGTCAAATACAGCACCTGTGACCTTGGCATATTGCAGTGCTCCAGTCAAGCAGGTGAGCTAAAACTAGTTCTTCCACAATATACCACCTTCTTTGCTCAAATTTGTTTGAACTTTGCTCAAATTGTATGGACTTTGTCAAATCAGAAGTTATCATGATAGGAGATTTTAATATTGATATTCGAAAAACTGACCGTTCTGGCTATAAGGCTTTAATGAACTTTTGTCGCTCATTTAGTTTACATCAGCTGATCAAAGAACCAACACTTGTCTGTTCTTCCACTCAAACTATTATTGACCTTGTTTTAGTGTCAGAAAAGGCTAGGATAACAGAAAGTGGGGTAATTAATTATGGACTGAGTGATCATTCTATTGTTTTCTGTACTCGAAAGATCAAGAAAGCAGTGCTCAATTGTCATAGCTCTATAAGAATCAGGTCGATGAAAAGGTATAGTAAAGAAGCACTTGATGATTGCCTGAATTTTATAAACTGGTCTGCTGTGTTGCAATTTAAGGAAGTTGATAAAGCATGGTGCTCTTTTAAATGTATGTTTTTAGAAGTTGTAGACAAAGTAGCCCCTTTTAAAGTAATAAGAGTTAAACAGAGGACAGAACCCTGGATAAATGATGAAATTCTCGAGTCAATTAGGATGAGAAACAAGAAGTATGATATATTCAAGAAAAACAAGGATGATCAGAATTGGGCAGAGTACAAAAAGGTGAGAAATGAAGTGAGTAGATTAGTGGTCAATGGCAAAAAGGCCTATTTTAATGAGAAAATTGTACAATATAGAAATGATTCAAGTAAGTTATGGAAGTCCCTCAAGCAGCTTGGCTATAGTAACAGGTTGAAAACAAAAACTAGGAACATAACTCTTGATTTGGGGAACAATGTCACAGCAGAAAAGGTGACAGTGGCAGATAGTTTTAACAACTATTTCTCATCAGTTGCTAGTAAACTGGTAGAAAAACTACCTGTCCAGTCTGGGCAGTACGGTGAATGTCACATCTTTGACTTTTACTCTCAGCAAGAGGTCAAAGCAGACGGCTTCTCTTTTGAAAAGGTGTCAGAGGCAGTTGTACTTGAGAAGCTTAAAAACCTAAATAGTTTAAAAGCTACTGGCCTTGACAATATTCCATCTAGATTCTTAAGAGATGCTGCTAAGGTTATAACCCCATGTATCACCCATATCATAAACATGTCTATTGAGCAAGGATATTTTCCTAATGATTTCAAGCTTGCCAGAGTCATTCCACTTTACAAGAAAGGGAGTAAATTAGACCATGGAAACTATAGACCTGTTTCTATTCTGTGTAGTCTGTCAAAGATAATTGAAAAAATTATTTATGAACAGATTGACAAATACTTAGCATCACACAATCTACTCTATGAGTTACAGTCTGGCTTTCGCAAATCACATTCCACTGACACCTGTTTATTGTATTTAACGGACCACATTAGGAGGGAGGTAGATAAAGGGAATTTTTGTGGTATGGTCATGTTAGACCTACAGAGGGCCTTTGATACCGTTGACCATGATATTTTGGTACGCAAATTAAAAGCCATTGGTTTTAATGACTTAGCAGTCAGATGGGTGAGTTCTTATCTGAAGGATAGGAAGCAGGTGGTGGATATTGGAGGAACAATGTCTCAACCACAATATATAGAATGTGGGGTTCCTCAAGGGAGTGTCTTGGGCCCACTTTTATTTCTTCTATATATAAATGACCTTAAGTCTGTATGTTCATGTGATCTTTTTTTTATATGCAGATGATTCTGCATTATTGGTTTCACATAAAGATAAGAGCATAGTTGAAAGAACTCTCAGTGCAGAACTATCAAAAGTCAGCGGGTGGATGTCAGACAATAAGCTATCACTTCACTTAGGAAAAACGGAAGCCATATTGTTTGGGTCAAAAATAAAATTGAGAAGATCCCCTGGTTTTAAGGTTTTAGTTGGAGATAGTGAGATTAATGTAAAGGACTCAGTTAGTTACCTGGGTTGTGTGCTGGACTGCCACTTGTCTGGAGTGGGCCAAGCGCAAAAGGTGCTTACCAAGGTAAATCAAAGAGTACGTTTCTTGTCCAGAATCTCAAAGTTTTTGGACAAAAAAGCAATGTTAACTCTGGCAAGTGCTCTAATTCAGCCTTATTTTGATTACGCGTGTTGCTCTTGGTACAATGGAGTTTTAAAGCACCTGAAACATAGGCTTCAGACTGCTCAAAATAGGGTTATAAGGCTTATTTTGAACCTCCCTGTGAGATCTCATCTTGATATTTCTCATTTTGAGTCTATAAGGTGGTTAAATGTAAAAGACAGTCTCGCAGATTCACCTGTGCATGGTACATAGGACTGTGCATGGGAATGTCCCCAAATATTTGAATCATTATTTTAATAGAGTTAGAGATGTTCACTGTTACTCCACCAGGGGCAGCTCTACGGATTTTGTACCTCCTAGAGTTAAGAGTCATTTAGGTAAAGAGTCATTTTTGTATGTAGCAATAAGTTTGTGGAACAGGTTGCCAGGAAATCTAAAGATGACTAGAAGTTTAGTAGGTTTTAAGCTGGCACAAAAAAATGGCTCAGATGTCAAACTTAGTATGATAATATTTTATGGTTTTGTCTTGATGGTTATAGTTAATATATATATGGATGTGATGATTGATGCTTGATTTGTTGCCACTTGTTCTGCCGCCTCCCTTAGGGCTTTATTGTGTTATCCTGACTTTGTTTTTGTTTTGTTTTTTATATACGGTGCAAAGATGTATCGTATTTAAAAAAAAAAGGGTAAAAAAAAATCAATCAAATAAAATCAATCACTTCTAAATTCAAACTTGAGGCATCACTCGTATGATGTGGGCTAATTTTCTGCATCTATATATGTGCTTGTTGTGTTTTTAGACTGTGTGGCTCCGATGACATTCTTCAAATGCTCATATCCTGGAGAAAAAGGGATAGAGTGTCAGAGGACATGTGAGAAACAAGACCCAAATAACTGCGTGAGTTGGGACGGATGGGTGGATGAATGGAATACATGAAAAAGAGGATGAATGAAATGAAAAGTCACAGCAGTTTTGACTGGAAAAATTCAAATGCAGGCATTCTCACAACAGTTCTAAATGGCATCTATAGATAATATGAAATGGAAAATCTTGTAATACGTTAGAAGTTTGCAGGGAAAAGTTGGTTTAACAATTTTGTCTTGTCAATAGGTGAGCACAGGGTGTGTATCAGGGTGTATGTGTCCAGACGGCCTTCTAGCTGATGGCAATGGTGGGTGTGTGGAGAGGGAAAAATGTAATTGTACCCACAATGGAGTCTCCTATTCTCCTGGGAGCCAAGTTCAGCAGGACTGTAACACCTGGTGAGCCAATCACAACTCTTATAACCCATGTTATCATGCCATCCCTGTTTTATCATTTTACATCTACAGTACCTGTCAAATGTTTGGACACAAATCTACTGTTTACTGTTACCTAAAACTAAAATAATTTTCTATAACTGCAATAAAGCTATCATTGGATCAGTATTTATTTGTGAATTGTTCTCTATATTTCAGCACATGCACAAACGGGATGTGGAGTTGTACAGAAAAGGCATGCTACAGCACCTGTACCATCTACGGTGAAGGTCATTTCAAGACTTTTGATGGCAAGAAATATGCCTTCCACGGAGACTGTAAACACACCTTAGCCCATGTATGTTTGACTCTGCCAATGAAAAAAAAATCTATTTACAGATATCTAACAAATACCAGTTACTATTATATCTGCAAAAGCACTAAGAATAATATGAAAGAATCATATGAAAAAAAGGCTCAAAGGAACCCATGCAGTATATTACTGTAATATTAAAGTGGTTTGTATACAAACATTTAAATTGTACATAAGGCATTTTTAACAATAACAAAGTATTAATATTTTTTATATAATTCGTTATACTCCAATTCTACGTTTATTGTTTTTATGTTTTCATTATGGATTTATTCAAATATTAAAGAATAGGTTAAGAAAATTGATATGTAAATATCCTGCATATATTTAGCAAAATGCTCTTACTGTTCATTTTTCTAGCTAACTATTGAGTTATGGTCAGTAAATGGCTTTTCCGAGGTAAATGTTACATTACGTTACGTGACATTGTTTACTTTACACCCTCTGTTGTATTGACGTCTTTCCGAGGTTAAAACACTGACTGAGCGATTACATAAAAACATTAAACATTTTGGAAAATTGTACTGTATGTTTCAACATATAAGGTATGTTGAAACATACAGCACAATTTTCCGAAATTTTTAATGTTTTTATGTAATCGCTGATGTTAATTCTATCAAAGCACATTCAAGTTTTAAAAAAAAAGTTTTTAAAGTTTTAAATGTATTGTTTTAATTTCGTATTAAAAGCAACAGATTTTGAAAACTAAGACTTTGTCTCATATCAAAAGTAATTTGGATCGATCCTTGTGAAATAAGAATGGAAATTGTACATCAAAATGAGAATTGATTAAAATCGCGAAATCAATATTTTCAACCAAGCCCTGATGGAAATTGGAAAACATAACTTTTTATATAAATTAGACAGATGAAATGCATATGAGGGTTAATTATATGGGGCATTATAATCTGGAACATATTTTATTATGTGTGTAACCCCTCTAGGATTATTGCGGTACAAACGTCTATCCCTCCTTCCGGCTGGTCACAGAGAACATCCCCTGCTCCACCGCCAACACTATTTGCTCCAAGACCATCCATCTGTTCTTTGGGGTGAGGTTATTTCATAGCTCAGAGTGAGCACAGGTTTATTAGTAAAGCATCCTAAAATGCAATAGATATTGTGTCACTAACTATTCAAATCCCACAGAGATACGAGATGATTTTATCTGAGGAGGATGGAGTGAAAGTTGTTGAAAGCAATGGCACAGATTACAGATATAAAATCCATTCTGTGGTCCTATATATGGTCATAGAAGTCGAAGATCTTTTGAATTTGATCTGGGACACTAAAACGAGTGTGATGATCCAACTCCATCCCAAATTAAAGGTATGCATTCCTTAAAGGTACACTCGTACACAAGAACCTTCTACCCTTTGTTCACTTACTCACCTAAACATCCACATGTTCTCTATGGCAGGGCAAGGTGTGTGGACTGTGTGGAAACTTTGATGGCAATGCGAATAATGACTTTATGAAGCTCAATGGAGAAGTGGTGACGGATCCAGAGGAATTTGGGAATAGCTGGAAGGTGGATGCCAGCTGCCCAGATGTGACAAACGTGAAGCATCCTTGTGACGCACATCCAAACCGGCGTTCCTGGGCTGAAAAAAAATGCGGAATAATTTTGGGCCCTGACTTTCAAGACTGCCATGCACCTGTAAGTAACAATTAACAACTTGCGGACAAAATCAAGCCTTGTTCAAGTTAGGTTCAGTCTAGTGTAGCTGTGTGTCTGATTTTCCTGTCTGCAGGTGGACTCTGGCCCATACTATGAAGCGTGTGTAAGGGACGCCTGTGCATGTGACAGCGGAGGTGACTGTGATTGTCTCTGTACCGCAGTGGCAGCTTATGCTGCTGAATGCCGTAAAAAAGGAGTTTGTGTGGCATGGAGGAAGCCACACTTTTGCCGTAAGTTCAAGTATAGTGTAAATTATTTATTTTGCCTATAAACATAGACTGCAACCAATGTACTTGAAGAGGAATGCATTTACTGTACTCCACTGAGTGATTACAAACACATGTCATGCCATCTACTATAAATTTAAATTTTTTCTTCAATTACTGGCACTTCTAGAAAATGATCCCATAGTCTTGCTAAGGCAAATTTCATAGCTAGCATTGTATTTAAATACACACAATTAAGTAATAATTAACTTTTTTTGACATAATTTTTCAAATATATAACTTTATTGGAAATTAGACACAATAGAAATGTAATTTATTTTTCCCTGATTTTTCCTTTTCTTCACACATGTCCAATACAGTATTCCATATCAGACATGTTCTTCAGTGACACATTTTTCTCCTTGGTAACCAAGAACAAAAGAGCAAAATTGTTGGTCATAAATGATGCTACAACTGATTTCACATAATACATATTGATAAATATAACATTCGATCATAGTTTTTAAAATGTAATATTTTTTGATGGATTTAAAGATTTATTTATTTTTGTCTGGAACAAGGAAACGATAAAATTTAAAGTTAATAAAAAAAGATTAAAAAAACAAACATTTACAAGACCAATTTAAATAACTCTCAAATAAAGACATTTTCCTGACTCAAGTGATTGTTCTTGCAGCTGTATTCTGTGAGTACTACAACAACCCTCCCATTGAATGTGAGTGGCACTACGGAACCTGTGGATCGACCTGCATGAAAACCTGCAAAAACCGCTCAGGAACTTGCTCTGATCAAATTCCTCCCCTTGAGGGTAAGAATTTAAAATTTTAACATTTTGAAAATCTGCAGTATAGTGTGTCCCAGAGAAAAAAAGTATGTTACCTACTATGTATTTTAGGTACCCAAAAAAAGAAGAAACATTTTATAATACCCATGGTCGACTTTCTGCCCTGACAATTTTATTTATTCTATTAGGTTGTTTTCTGAAGTGCCCTTCAGAGAGGCCATATCTCAGGGAGGAGACCATGAAGTGTGTACCAGAGGACGAATGTGAAGACTGCTTCTATGATGGGAAGGTGTTTCCACCTGGATCGGTTGTTTACAAAACCACAGATGGGAATGGTGCATGTTTCACTGCTCGGTGTCATTCAAACGGGAAAATAATACGAATTTTTGAAGAATGCATAGACACAACAACACCTTTCACTTTCACAACTAGCCCTGAAACTACTAAAACTACAACTACCACATCAACACCTTCAACTACAGTCATTTCATCACCTACATCAACAGAGACTTCCACAATCACAACCACTACTATCACAAGCACTGGAACATCGACACATACATCAACAGAAACACCATCTACAACTAGTACAACTACTGGTACAACAACACCTCCCATCTGTAGTGAAAGTGTTAGTAGTTGCAAATGGTCAGATTGGGTTGATGGCAACACACCCAGTACAGAGCCAGAAGGATTCGAAATTGAATCCATCGATCCATTGTGGAAATCAGGAAAGATTACCTGTCAGAACCCCAGAGAGATTGAATGTAGGGCAGTAAATTATCCCCTAAAGTCCCTGGAAAGTTTGGGACAAACTGTGTATTGCAATACATCATTTGGACTGTCATGTTCAAATGAAGAAAATGCAGATGGCTTGCCACCACTTTGTTATAATTATGAAATACGTGTAGATTGTTGTATAGATATATGCGTTTCTTCAACACCATCCCCAAGTACACCGACATCCACTACCTCAACAACTACTGTAACATCAACACCTACAACTATGGTTACAACAACAACATTTACATCAACAGAGACATCCACAATCACATCTACTACTACACCAACTACTGGAACATCGATACCTACTTCAACAGAAACACCATCTACATCAACAGAGACATTCACAACCACATCCACTACTGGAACATCAACACCTACTTCAACAGAAACACCGCCTACATCAACAGAAACACCATCTACAACTAGTACAACTACTGGTACAACAACACCTCCCATCTGTAGTGAAAGTGTTAGTAGTTGCAAATGGTCAGATTGGGTTGATGGAAACACACCCAGTACAGAGCCAGAAGGATTCGAAATTGAATCCATCGATGCATTGTGGAATTCAGGAAAGATTACCTGTCAGAACCCCAGAGAGATTGAATGTAGGGCAGTAAATTATCCCCTAAAGTCCCTGGAAAGTTTGGGACAAACTGTTTATTGCAATACATCATTTGGACTGTCATGTTCAAATGAAGAAAATGCAGATGGCTTGCCACCACTTTGTTATAATTATGAAATACGTGTAGATTGTTGTATAGAGATATGCGTTTCTTCAACACCATCCCCAAGTACACCGACATCCACTACCTCAACAACTACTGTAACATCAACACCTACAACTATGGTTACAACAACAACATCTACATCAACAGAGACATCCACAATCACATCTACTACTACACCAACTACTGGAACATCGATACCTACTTCAACAGAAACACCATCTACATCAACAGAGACATTCACAACCACATCCACTACTGGAACATCAACACCTACTTCAACAGAAACACCAACTACAACTGTTACAATAACACCTACATCAACAGAATCACCATCCACAATCACATTTACTACTACACCAATTACTGGAACATCGACTCCTACGTCAACAGAACCACCACCTACATCAACAGAAACACCATCTACAACTAGTACAACTACGGGTACAACAACACCCATCATCTGGTCAACATCTACATCAACAGAGACATCCACAACTACATCCACTACTGGAACATCAACACCTACTTCAACAGAAACACCACCTACAACTGTTACAATAACACTTACATCAACAGAATCACCATCCACAATCACATTTACTACTACACCAATTACTGGAACATCGACTCCTACGTCAACAGAACCACCACCTACATCAACAGAAACACCACCTACAACTAGTACAACTACTGGTACAACAACAACCATCATCTGGTCAACATCAACAGAGACATCCACAACCACATCCACTACTGGAACATCAACACCTACTTCAACAGAAACACCGCCTACATCAACAGAAACACCATCTACAACTAGTACAACTACTGGTACAACAACACCTCCCATCTGTAGTGAAAGTGTTAGTAGTTGCAAATGGTCAGATTGGGTTGATGGCAACACACCCAGTACAGAGCCAGAAGGATTGGAAATTGAATCCATCGATGCATTGTGGAAATCAGGAAAGATTACCTGTCAGAACCCCAGAGAGATTGAATGTAGGGCAGTAAATTATCCCCTAAAGTCCCTGGAAAGTTTGGGACAAACTGTGTATTGCAATACATCATTTGGACTGTCATGTTCAAATGAAGAAAATGCAGATGGCTTGCCACCACTTTGTTATAATTATGAAATACGTGTAGATTGTTGTATAGAGATATGCGTTTCTTCAACACCATCCCCAAGTACACCGACATCCACTACCTCAACAACTACTGTAACATCAACACCTACAACTATGGTTACAACAACAACATCTACATCAACAGAGACATCCACAATCACATCTACTACTACACCAACTACTGGAACATTGATACCTACTTCAACAGAAACACCATCTACATCAACAGAGACATTCACAACCACATCCACTACTGGAACATCAACACCTACTTCAACAGAAACACCAACTACAACTGTTACAATAACACCTACATCAACAGAATCACCATCCACAATCACATTTACTACTACACCAATTACTGGAACATCGACTCCTACGTCAACAGAACCACCACCTACATCAACAGAAACACCATCTACAACTAGTACAACTACTGGTACAACAACAACCATCATCTGGTCAACATCTACATCAACAGAGACATCCACAACCACATCCACTACTGGAACATCAACACCTACTTCAACAGAAACACCGCCTACATCAACAGAAACACCATCTACAACTAGTACAACTACTGGTACAACAACACCTCCCATCTGTAGTGAAAGTGTTAGTAGTTGCAAATGGTCAGATTGGGTTGATGGCAACACACCCAGTACAGAGCCAGAAGGATTCGAAACTGAATCCATCGATGCATTGTGGAAATCAGGAAAGATTACCTGTCAGAACCCCAGAGAGATTGAATGTAGGGCAGTAAATTATCCCCTAAAGTCCCTGGAAAGTTTGGGACAAACTGTGTATTGCAATACATCATTTGGACTGTCATGTTCAAATGAAGAAAATGCAGATGGCTTGCCACCACTTTGTTATAATTATGAAATACGTGTAGATTGTTGTATAGAGACATGCGTTTCTTCAACACCATCCCCAAGTACACCGACATCCACTACCTCAACAACTACTGTAACATCAACACCTACAACTATGGTTACAACAACAACATCTACATCAACAGAGACATCCACAATCACATCTACTACTACACCAACTACTGGAACATTGATACCTACTTCAACAGAAACACCATCTACATCAACAGAGACATTCACAACCACATCCACTACTGGAACATCAACACCTACTTCAACAGAAACACCAACTACAACTGTTACAATAACACCTACATCAACAGAATCACCATCCACAATCACATTTACTACTACACCAATTACTGGAACATCGACTCCTACGTCAACAGAACCACCACCTACATCAACAGAAACACCATCTACAACTAGTACAACTACGGGTACAACAACACCCATCATCTGGTCAACATCTACATCAACAGAGACATCCACAACTACATCCACTACTGGAACATCAACACCTACTTCAACAGAAACACCACCTACAACTGTTACAATAACACCTACATCAACAGAATCACCATCCACAATCACATTTACTACTACACCAATTACTGGAACATCGACTCCTACGTCAACAGAACCACCACCTACATCAACAGAAACACCACCTACAACTAGTACAACTACTGGTACAACAACAACCATCATCTGGTCAACATCTACATCAACAGAGACATCCACAACCACATCCACTACTGAAACATCAACACCTACTTCAACAGAAACACTGCCTACATCAACAGAAACACCATCTACAACTAGTACAACTACTGGTACAACAACACCTCCCATCTGTAGTGAAAGTGTTAGTAGTTGCAAATGGTCAGATTGGGTTGATGGCAACACACCCAGTACAGAGCCAGAAGGATTCGAAACTGAATCCATCGATGCATTGTGGAAATCAAGAAAGATTACCTGTCAGAACCCCAGAGAGATTGAATGTAGGGCAGTAAATTATCCCCTAAAGTCCCTGGAAAGTTTGGGACAAACTGTGTATTGCAATACATCATTTGGACTGTCATGTTCAAATGAAGAAAATACAGATGGCTTGCCACCACTTTGTTATAATTATGAAATACGTGTAGATTGTTGTATAGAGATATGCGTTTCTTCAACACCATCCCCAAGTACACCGACATCCACTACCTCAACAACTACTGTAACATCAACACCTACAACTATGGTTACAACAACAACATCTACATCAACAGAGACATCCACAATCACATCTACTACTACACCAACTACTGGAACATCGATACCTAGTTCAACAGAAACACCATCTACAACTGTTACAATAACACCTACATCAACAGAATCACCATCCACAATCACATTTACTACTACACCAATTACTGGAACATCGACTCCTACGTCAACAGAACCACCACCTACATCAACAGAAACACCATCTACAACTAGTACAACTACTGGTACAACAACACCCATCATCTGGTCAACATCTACATCAACAGAGACATCCACAACTACATCCACTACTGGAACATCAACACCTACTTCAACAGAAACACCACCTACAACTGTTACAATAACACCTACATCAACAGAAACACCATCCACAATCACATCCACTACAACACCATCTACTGGAACATTGCCAACAGAAACACCACCTACATCAACACCATCTACAACTAGTACAACTACTGGTACAACAACACCCATCATCTGGTCAACATCTACATCAACAGAGACATCCACATCCACTACTGGAACATCAACACCTACTTCAACAGAAACACCACCTACAACTGTTACAATAACACCTACATCAACAGAATCACCATCCACAATCACATTTACTACTACACCAATTACTGGAACATCGACTCCTACGTCAACAGAACCACCACCTACATCAACAGAAACACCATCTACAACTAGTACAACTACGGGTACAACAACACCCATCATCTGGTCAACATCTACATCAACAGAGACATCCACAACTACATCCACTACTGGAACATCAACACCTACTTCAACAGAAACACCACCTACAACTGTTACAATAACACCTACATCAACAGAAACACCATCCACAATCACATCCACTACTACACCATCTACTGGAACATTGCCAACAGAAACACCACCTACATCAACACCATCTACAACTAGTACAACTACTGGTACAACAACACCCATCATCTGGTCAACATCTACATCAACAGAGACATCCACATCCACTACTGGAACATCAACACCTACTTCAACAGAAACACCAACTACAACTGTTACAGCACCTCCTACATCAACAGAAAAACCATCCACAATCACATTTACTACAACACCAATAACTGTAACTATGACACCTACGTCAACAAAAACATCATCTACAACTAGTACAACAACTGGCACAAGAACACCCACATCAACAACGAAATCTACAAGTACCTTCACTACCACAACGAAGTTCACTGTGCATACAGAGCCAAATCCTACCACCAAAAACATCACATCGCCCCAAACTGTGGACTGTTGCACATATTTAAATAGAACATATTCAAACGGTAAGTGCTACTTTAACAACAAACGTTCAAATATTTCATTTAGTTTAATCCTTGTACATGTGTACATTACCTTGACCCTACATTACATTCAGGTTCCACTTCTGTTAAAAATCTCTTTCTGTTTACCTTCCTCACAAATCCTTTTATTATAATTATAGGATCAACAATCTATAATCAAACGGATAAAGCGGGTTGGTGCTACTTTGCCTACTGCAACTCCTCTTGTCATATTGTGAAAACGTCTCAGCCATGCCCAACTCATCCACCTCCACCTCCACAAGACTGTACAAATATCAACAGAAAGGTAATTTAATAAGAGTACAGTAGACAAACACTTAAGCAGTAACACATACAATTTCTACAAAATTTCTGCATGTATTTTTTCAAGACGAACAATAACATAATAACCTGTAATGGTTATTTGATATGATAATATCTGTTGTAATACAACACTAAATTAATTACATTCTGTATTACTGTTAGATGACTGTATTAACTGGTAATAAAAGGAAAGAATACCTGAAACATTTTTTTTTTAATGAATCTCTTTATCAATCTGATTGTGTCCTTTAGCATATGGAATCCTGGATTGAAGACTGCAAAAACAAAACATGCAAAAATGGCAGTGTCTCATCATCGGTACCTTTGAAGTGTGACAAATCTGATAATGTCATACCTAAATGTTCTAATGGAATTAAAGCTAAGAAGGTGCCTTATAACAATGGATGCTGCTCCAAGTATGAGTGTGAATGTAAGTTTAAGTCTTGCTCATGGACATTTCATTAATATTAAATATTTATATTAAGTACATTTCCTTAATATAAAAATAATAATAATTGTCCAAGCCATTGCCTTATGTTTACATTTGGTGTACCTTGGTTTGACAGGTCGATGCAGTGGCTGGGGTGACCCACATTACAAAACTTTTGATGGAACATACTATGATTTCCAAGGAAACTGCACATATGTTTTGTTCCAAGAAATTATCCCAAGATACAATATCAGTGTCCATGTTAAAAACTATTATTGTGATGTTAAAGATAATCTCGCCTGCCCAGAGTATTTGATTGTGAACTACAAATCCTATAAAATCAAGCTGACAAGCAACACTACAGAGGTCCAGGTAAGTCTTAGGTCTACAGCAAAACATTCACAGGCTCCAAAATACAAATTAATTGAAAACAAAAGTACACAAAATTACACATCAAATCATGACACATTGCAAAATAACACCGTACTCTAGAGAAAATGTTTCGTCATAACTTAGTAAGATCTTGTTTCACATAGGTCTATGTTAATGATGAAGAGAAACAACTAACTTACAAGAATGACCAATTCTTCATCACCTCCTCTGGCATGGCAGTAGTTGTGAACATCACTGAAATCAAAGTTGAAATTTTGGTCAATCATCAAGGCTTTCAGATCAATCTCCCATTCTCCTATTTTAATGGCAATACAGAGGGACAGTGTGGTGAGTACAGATAAGAGATCTCTTGTTGCAACAAATAAAACTTAAATTTAATAATAATATGTGTCAGTTTCATTTCATGTTTACAAGTGCAACAAATAAATGAGATTTTCCATAACTGTAACCAAACTTTAATTAATAAATAAAAATACATTTATTTTAAATTGTTCCATAATTACTTCCTCTCTAAATCCAGATTTAGTATAATTTAAATTTAAATTTTCAGGGGTTTGCGACAACAACCGTTCAAATGACTGTAGACGTCCTGATGGAAAAATCGATCAATCGTGTGAGAGCATGGCACAGCTTTGGATGGTCCCACCTGGATGCAAAATCCCTAAATCTCCACCTACACCTCCACCTCAACCCCCCTGCTACCCGGAGACTTGTGAACTCATCAAGGGCGAGTAAGGAAAAGCCACTTAGTTCAATCATTTAGTAACACTGATTAGAACAAAGTATTTTCCACATAAAAATTAAAACTGTCAACAACCCTAAGGTTGTTCTAAACCTGTTTGACTTAGAAAGAAAGTCATACAGGTTTGGAATAGAAATGGTAGAATCTTCCTTTTTTGGGTGAACTGTCCCTTTAAGATACCTGAAATCGAAATTTGTCTCTTCGCAGTATGTTTGTGAAATGCCACGGGGTCATTCCTTATGAAAGTTATTATGAGTCATGCAAATTTGATGTGTGCCACGTGGGGAAAAAATCTGCTTGTATCAGTCTGGAAGCGTATGCTCAGCAATGTGGCAAGGAGGGTATCTGTGTGGACTGGAGAACATCAGATGAACTCAAAAAACTGTGTGGTAAGTAGAATGAACCTAACCATTTTACTGCATTTTCATTGTACTTTAAGCTGGTTATCTTCCTGGTTATCTTCTACATTTTGTCCTTGAGATTAAAACCCTGAAACTTGATCGCCATTGTTTTCTATGACAGAATACAAGTGTCCCAGTCACAAAGTCTACCAGGGTTGTGGGCCTAAAATAGAAAAAACCTGCAGCACAAGGTAATCTCACTCTACAATACTCCATATCCACAAAACAACAGTCCTTAACAAGTGCTGGAATCACAATACTTCATGTCTGATGTGCTTCTATTAACTCACCACTAGGTACAATGATTTATATGTGGAGAAAGAATGTCAAAGCAAGGAGTGTCTTCAAACATTTATGGAAGGTTGTTTCTGCCCTGATAACACATATCAAGTTAGTTCAACGGTAGATAACTGTACGGCTTACTGCGGTAAGACATGTTGCTTATTTACTTTCTCTGTTTTTTAGATGAATCCACCTTTGTGTCTTATTTTCATTAATTTGGTTTTTATTCCCTCCATGTAGATTGTATTGGCCCTGATGGATTACCTAGAATGGTATGTCTAGACAAAACAAGATATTTTGAAACATATTCAAGAAAGTCAATTTCACTATGCATTTGCCTGGCAAAATCACCACGATTCCTAACCATCATCTACTTGCTTTTTCTTCTGTAGCCTGGGGAGACATGGACCATGGGCTGTTCTGAATACACATGCTCCAGTGAGACCTTTGGTATTACAACTGTGCCCGTCAGCTGTCCGATTCAAAAGCCCTGTGGATCAGAACAAAAATTAATCATTGAAAACTGCTGCCTAACCTGTGGTGAGTCAAGATTAAACGAATTTGATGGTGCATCATTACAACCTAGATAATGAATTTGCACGACTTACTAAAAATAATTCACTAAAAATACATCCTACTTATAGCACACACAGTCTACATTTGAACTATCCGTACATAAATGCATGCAAAAATCATTTAAAAGGACTCCCCATTTCACCTCAACCCATTTAGTGTGTGATCTCGAGGTGTGTCTTCAGAAGAAATGTGATGTGGGATTTGAGTTAGCAGCAAATAAAACTGAAGGCAGTTGCTGTCCACCCTGTGGTAAGTCTCAGATACATTTCTGTGGTTTAAAATCTTAAACATAATTACTAATTTTGCTGTCATACAAAAACGGACTTGTGAGTCATTCCAGTTAAGCAGCAACTTTCGAGTCCATGTTTTAAATATCCACAATAATACAATCTAAAGAAAATCCTGGAATATGAGATAAATGGCCAGTTCTTCACGCTAAAAGGACATGGCAATAATGATGACATCAGCTCAAAGTAGTAGTGTAATTTTTATGTAATTGTTCACTTAACTGATAATGCTAAATAATATAATTTCTAACCTTACAAATGGTGAGATTAATATTTTATCAATTCATATGAAGACATGGAAATGTACTGCATAACAGGAATGACCACCCTTTTTTATTTTTCATAAAACAATGAAATTGGCGTACATTATTATCACAGTAATTTAATGACTTTTAAAATGGATTGCTCTGATTTCCAGTGCCTAAAGACGTCTGTGTGTACAATAACACTGAGTACCAGGTGAGTTCACAAGTTCACATTAATAAAGTAAATTTGGGAAAATCTTGGTATTTAAAATAAAGCAAAAGGAAATAGTGATAATATTTTCCACTTTTCTGACTCTCTGAAATCTCTTCTTTCTAGCCTGGAGCTAAAATCACCCCTGAGCCTTGTGTTGAATGTGACTGTCAAATGGATAAAGACCCAAGGACTCAACTACACAGCGTCATGTGTGTTTCTAAAATCTGTTCACCTTGCCCTGAGGTAATAATTTAAAGTTTTGCTTGTGAACCATCATTTTATCAAACAATTGATTTGAAACTTCTTAAGAAGAATATATGAACTATTAAAGTGTTTTTGTACTCCAAGGGCTATGAGCAGGTGGAACAAGATGGAGAGTGCTGTGGAACATGCAATCAAAATGCCTGTATTTATACTGCGCCAGACAACACCACTCATACTCTCAAGGTACATATCAAACTTTCCTTTACACTTTCAGTTCACTAGACAAAAGATCTGCTCTATTTTTTTATCCTAATGTAGCCTATCTTTTTTATTTTTTTTGTAGGATGGAGAGAGCATCGACTACCAATGTGAAAGTGTGACATGTCATCAAGTCAATGGCACGTTCATGATAGAGAAGACCATGCCAAGCTGCCCTGTCATCGATGAAGATGACTGTGTGCCCGTGGGTTCAATATCTTAAGCAACATTTGATGCATTTGTTGTTTGTATTTTGTGTGGCTGTTGCTACCTTTTAACACTTAAGGGATAGTTCACACAAAAATGAAAAAAAAAATTGTCATTGTTTACTCACCCTCATGTCGTTCCAAACCCGTAAGACTTTCGTTCATCTTCAAAACACAAAATATTTTTTTTTAAATGAAATCTGAGAGATTTCTGTCCCTCTATTCACAGCTACACAACTACCACTTTGATGCTTCAAAAAGTTCATAAAGAGATATTATAAAACTAATCCATATGAATTGAGTGGTTTAGTCCAAATTTTGACTTGACACTTTATATGATGAACAGATTTAATTTAGACCTTTATCCACATATAAATATTGATCAGTGAACATACACAGAAGCTCAACCAGACGCGCGAGAATGAACCTAATTGGTTCTTGATGAAGCTCAAACGTGCTGCGTAACACGAGAATGAACCTCATTGGTTCTTCATGAAGCTCAAACGTGCTGCGTAACACGAGAAGGAACCTCATTGGTTCTTCATGAAGCTCAAACGTGCTGCGTAACACGAGAATGAACCTCCTTGGTTCTTGAGGAAGCTCAAACGTGCTGCGTAACACGAGAATGAACCTAATTGGTTCTTGATGAAGCTCAAACGTGCTGCGTAACATGAGAATGAACCTCATTGGTTCTTGATGAAGCTCAAACGTGCTGCGTAACACGAGAATGAACCTAATTGGTTCTTGAGGAAGCTCAAACGTGCTGCGTAACACGAGAATGAACCTCATTGGTTCTTGAGGAAGCTCAAACGTGCTGCGTAACACGAGAATGAACCTCATTGGTTCTTGATGAAGCTCAAACGTGCTGCGTAACACATTAGAATGAACCTCATTGGTTCTTGAGGAAGCTCAAACGTGCTGCGTAACACATGAGAATGAACCTCATTGGTTCTTGATGAAGCTCAAACGTGCTGCGTAACACATGAGAATGAACCTCATTGGTTCTTGAGGAAGCTCAAACGTGCTGCGTAACACATGAGAATGAACCTCATTGGTTCTTGAGGAAGCTCAAACGTGCTGCGTAACACATGAGAATGAACCTCATTGGTTCTTGAGGAAGCTCAAACGTGCTGCGTAACACATGAGAATGAACCTCATTGGTTCTTGAGGAAGCTCAAACGTGCTGCGTAACACATTAGAATGAACCTCATTGGTTCTTGATGAAGCTCAAACGTGCTGCGTAACACATTAGAATGAACCTCATTGGTTCTTGAGGAAGCTCAAACGTGCTGCGTAACACATGAGAATGAACCTCATTGGTTCTTGATGAAGCTCAAACGTGCTGCGTAACACATGAGAATGAACCTCATTGGTTCTTGAGGAAGCTCAAACGTGCTGCGTAACACATGAGAATGAACCTCATTGGTTCTTGAGGAAGCTCAAACGTGCTGCGTAACACATTAGAATGAACCTCATTGGTTCTTGAGGAAGCTCAAACGTGCTGCGTAACACATGAGAATGAACCTCATTGGTTCTTGATGAAGCTCAAACGTGCTGCGTAACACATTAGAATGAACCTCATTGGTTCTTGAGGAAGCTCAAACGTGCTGCGTAACACATGAGAATGAACCTCATTGGTTCTTGATGAAGCTCAAACGTGCTGCGTAACACATTAGAATGAACCTCATTGGTTCTTGAGGAAGCTCAAACGTGCTGCGTAACACATGAGAATGAACCTCATTGGTTCTTGATGAAGCTCAAACGTGCTGCGTAACACATGAGAATGAACCTCATTGGTTCTTGAGGAAGCTCAAACGTGCTGCGTAACACATGAGAATGAACCTCATTGGTTCTTGAGGAAGCTCAAACGTGCTGCGTAACACATTAGAATGAACCTCATTGGTTCTTGATGAAGCTCAAACGTGCTGCGTAACACATGAGAATGAACCTCATTGGTTCTTGAGGAAGCTCAAACGTGCTGCGTAACACATGAGAATGAACCTCATTGGTTCTTGAGGAAGCTCAAACGTGCTGCGTAACACATTAGAATGAACCTCCTTGGTTCTTGATGAAGCTCAAACGTGCTGCGTAACACATGAGAATGAACCTCATTGGTTCTTGATGAAGCTCAAACGTGCTGCGTAACATGAGAATGAACCTCATTGGTTCTTGATGAAGCTCAAACGTGCTGCTTAACACATGAGAATGAACCTCATTGGTTCTTGATGAAGCTCAAACGTGCTGCGTAACATGAGAATGAACCTCATTGGTTCTTGATGAAGCTCAAACGTGCTGCGTAACACATTAGAATGAACCTCATTGGTTCTTGAGGAAGCTCAAACGTGCTGCGTAACACATTAGAATGAACCTCATTGGTTCTTGAGGAAGCTCAAACGTGCTGCGTAACACATGAGAATGAACCTCATTGGTTCTTGATGAAGCTCAAACGTGCTGCGTAACATGAGAATGAACCTCATTGGTTCTTGATGAAGCTCAAACGTGCTGCGTAACACATGAGAATGAACCTCATTGGTTCTTGATGAAGCTCAAACGTGCTGCGTAACATGAGAATGAACCTCATTGGTTCTTGATGAAGCTCAAACGTGCTGCGTAACATGAGAATGAACCTCATTGGTTCTTGATGAAGCTCAAACGTACTGCGTAACACATTAGAATGAACCTCATTGGTTCTTGATGAAGCTCAAATGTGCTGCGTAACACGAGAATGAACCTAATTGGTTCTTGAGGAAGCTCAAACGTGCTGCGTAACACGAGAATGAACCTCATTGATTCTTGAGGAAGCTCAAACGTGCTGCGTAACACGAGAATGAACCTAATTGGTTCTTGAGGAAGCTCAAACGTGCTGCGTAACACGAGAATGAACCTCCTTGGTTCTTGAGGAAGCTCAAACGTGCTGCGTAACACATGAGAATGAACCTCATTGGTTCTTGAGAAAGCTCAAACGTGCTGCGTAACACGAGAATGAACCTCATTGGTTCTTGAGGAAGCTCAAACGTGCTGCGTAACACGAGAATGAACCTCATTGGTTCTTGAGAAAGCTCAAACGTGCTGCGTAACACATTAGAATGAACTTCATTGGTTCTTGAGGAAGCTCAAACGTGCTGCGTAACACGAGAATGAACCTCATTGGTTCTTGAGAAAGCTCAAACGTGCTGCGTAACACGAGAATGAACCTCATTGGTTCTTGAGAAAGCTCAAACGTGCTGCGTAACACGAGAATGAACCTCATTGGTTCTTGAGGAAGCTCAAACGTGCTGCGTAACACGAGAATGAACCTCATTGGTTCTTGAGAAAGCTCAAACGTGCTGCGTAACACATGAGAATGAACTTCATTGGTTCTTGAGGAAGCTCAAACGTGCTGCGTAACACATTAGAATGAACCTCATTGGTTCTTGATGAAGCTCAAACGTGCTGCGTAACACACGAATGAACCTCATTGGTTCTCGCACGTCAAGCGAACATGCTTGAGTTTCTGTTTACCACAACTGATGTGTGCGTTGATGAATGTTTATATGTGAATAAAAAGTCTAAATTCAATCTGTTCATCATATAAAGCGATCGAGTCCCATCAGAAATTTTTAACCTGACCACTCAATTCATATGGATTAGTTTTACGATCTCTTTAAAAACCTTTTGATGCGCCAAAGTGGTAGTTTTGTAGTTGTCAATAGAGGGACAGGAATTTCTCAGATATCATTAAAAACTGGTTTTGGAACGACATGATTCATGAGGGTGAGTAAATGACAGAATTTTCGTTTTTGGGTGAACTAACCCTTTAAAGCTAAAGTATGTCTTTTTTAAATTTTATAAATAATTTACCTCAAAAAGAGTGAATTAGTTTAAATTAAACTTCTGTCATCATCCACTCACCCTTAATGTCATTCCAAACCTGTATGACTTTTTCATCTGTGGAACACAAAAATATATTTGGATGTTTTGGGCCCCATTTACTTTGTATAGACAAACACATTTGCAAAATATTTGCAGAATGAAAAAAGTCAAACAGGTTTGACAATGTGCACATTTCTGAGTGAACTATTACTTTGACTATGAGCATGACACGTTGACATCTAAACAAGGCTCTATTTGTCTGAACAGGGAACAATGGGACTCGATGCAGATGGATGTTGCGACACATGTAAGAAATTGTTTCCTTGTTCAAAATATCCTGATGGTCAATATCCATGAAACACAAACAGAACTAGTGTTTATTGTAAACGGTCACATTCAGTATAACTGTAACATAACTGCTCCGAGACTCGAGGATCCAAACGTAGTTTAATGGGTTAATCCACAGACATACACAAAGCCCAGGCAAAGGTCGAAACACAGATGAGCAGTCCAAACAAAGACAATGTCCAGGGCTAAGGCAAAACCAAGTATATCCAGGGAACAGAAATAACAAAGATCCATGGAACAAGGCTCAGAAATGCAGTAACAAGACCTAAAGAGTGACTGAATTAACCAGGTTTATATAGGCAGAAACTAACAAGCAACAGCTGATTACAATCATGGCTGATAGTCGGGGCAGTGGGTTATGGGTAATGTAGTCTTTGCTAGAGTGTCTGAGGTGGAGTACCCTCTGATGGTAATCTAGAGGCACTCTCACTGGTGATCGTGACAATAACACAGCATTTTAAGATAAATTCATGAATGATTCACACAGACATTTGTTCTTTTCATGAATAAGGTCCAGCTTAACTGATAAACATATGTAATATTCTAATGATCTCCTATTACCTCTAATATATCAGGTGACCTCAAGAACTGTGTTGTGAAGAAGAACACCACAGACGTTACTGTAAATGGCTGCAAGTCCGTCCAACCCATAGAAGTGACGTCCTGCAGTGGCAACTGTGACACCGTTTCAATGTGAGAGCACATGCACATCTAACTGATCATTGACCTGTGAAATATAATTCACACTTACACACTCATACTGAATGCATGTTAATTCCAAGTGTAAACTTAGAGCAGTATTAGGCCAAACATTTAGCTCCAAACATGAAATATGCTTTGATTATCCAAGACTTGCAAATAGATTAGGATAATCTTTTTTAATAATAATCTGACTGAGGGTTTTCTTGTAAACCTGCATAGGTATTCAATGGAAACGAACATCATGAAGCACAGCTGTTCTTGCTGTCGTGAGACGAAAACCCACATTAAAAAAGTGAAGCTGAAGTGTTCCGATGACAGCGAGATCCTTCATGACTACATCTTCATAGACAGCTGCAAATGTACTCCAATTATGTGTGAAAACCAGAATAGCATTGGATAAAAGATCTTGTTCAGTTTCTGCTCTACTGCTACAATTGTGATTCCATGAAATTGCAAAAAAAATTATAATTTGGTGAAAGATTGCACCATTCAGCTTTTTGTTCTATAACTATTATCTCTCGGGACATTTTCTGGGCATTTTGAACATTTTGTTTCTTTTTTAGCAATGCAAAATGTGATTCTTTATATTTCCTTCTTATGAAATGAATGATGACTATATAATAAAGCAAAATAAATGGCAACAAAACAGTATACTGGATTTTTTCTCCCAAAAAAAGTAATTCGGAAAAAGAAAACTGGTATCACTTCACAATAAGATTCTGTTTTAGATGGATCATAAACTGCATTTAAAAAAAAAAAAATTATAATGTTCTCTGAGGTCCACTAATAATGTTAGCAAGATTTTTATATCAGAAAACATAATTTACAAGAAATTGGGTATTTTTTTTGACACATTCTTTGAAAAAAAAAAATCCGAAACAAGTTGTTTTATCCGCTTGGATTCAATAGAAGCTGTTTTTTGGACTAACAAGGAAGTTTTGAGTTCTGAAACACAGGATGTTTTACAGTATAATGACTTCTTATATGTCAACATTTGATTTCTCAATTCATGCCACTTTAACATTAGTTAGCATCAGCAAATACTTTCACATCATTTATTAATATTCAATAAATCTTTGTTAATATAAATTTCAGAAACACTTTAGTTTAGGGTCCAATTCTCACTACTAACTAGATGCTTATTAGCATTAGCTTATGTTAATTTCAACATTTACTACATTATTACATTCAAAAGTTGCATCTGTTCATATTATTTAATAGACCTGAGCTAACATGAACTAACAAATAAATGTTACCTTCTCATTTTAAACTTCCTGAACAAACTCGAATTAACAATGAATTATAGTATATTGATAAATTAACAGTAAACTTGATAGATAAAGGTTGCAAATAACCCTACAATTTAGTACATGGTACCTAATGTAATAACTAATCCTGTTCCTGGAGATCTTTCTTCCTGCAAAAGTTCAGTTCCAACCCTAATCAAACACACGTGAACCAGATAACCAGCTAAGATATTCAGAATAACATTTGATACTTTAAGACAGGTGTGTTGAAGCGGAAGGTAGATCTCCAGGAACAGGATGAATGTTACCAAATTACCATCAAACCTCTATGCAATGCACTCAATGAATACTGTGAAGGAAACCCAGAAGCTCAAAACTGGGAACCTGAAAGTGAAACTGAAGTGAATTTAGACTGTAAAAAGCCTACTTTGTAAATCTAAGCCAATACAAGACATCTCTGAACATGCATTGCATTCATCCTTTTATTTTAACATTTACATTTTAAAAGACAACATGAAATGAGACCTACACATATATTTGCACACCCATCCACGATTAATCATTTTATGCAAAATACACATCAAATAAATTTTTCAGATATGTGATACTAAGACATACCCATTATATTAAAGTGTACCTGACTAACATAGTCTGTTGTATTAAGTATTAACTTACTTTAATATGGTAACGTTACTTGGATTAAATTAATCTTTCACTTACGAGCAGTACTCTGACATGAAGCAAACAGTGATAAATATTTATACACATTCAAATGCTTCCCAAATGTTTGCTGTTGCGTCCAGAAAGATCTTCAGTCGTAAGTAACTAACCCTCAAACATGTCAAACGGGCCGGGATGAAGATCTAAGTACACAACTCTGCTGAAAGGCTATTGAATCAAGTACTGTTCCTATATGTCTTTGGATTATGTCATAGTATTGATTTAAGACGCTATTGATTTAATTACATTTTAGCTGATTAATTAATCAAAATAATCACAATTAAACAAAAAATGGAGGTGGCACTTCAAGCCTGAACTGCTCTGACGGCAGGAAAGTTTGTTAGCACGGAAGCACGGAAGCACAGGACGACAAGTTTGTCATTCCCAGTGTTCCTGGGTCAGCCATAGTGCTTGATGGCCATTTTGTGTTTGCCATGAAAAAACATTGTATTTCATCAACGCTTTGGTGCATTGAGAAGCAACTTGGTAGGCGGCCTACATATCATCTGAATCATGCCCCAAACGTAACGTTACCTGAGAAAAAATGGCAGTGTCACCAAGAGGTTAAAAAATACTGACCAAAATGTATAAAAATATAAATTTTCCTTCATTTGTTAAATCGTTGTGAACCTGGGCTCCTTAGTTTCTTCAGAGTCATGCCGAGTGAGTGAATTTGAAGATGTCTCTAGGCAACAGCGTTGGTGTTTTGATGCGTTACTGTAGCAATGCCTTGATGACTATATTAATTTGATGCCAACGCAACTAATTGGTCAAATCTTATGCAAGGGATCATGTACATAAATAATTATGGCGATAAGAGATATTGATTTGAGATTAAGCTGTTTTTTAATCATACCTGCTGTTTGTGATCTTATAATCCATTACCGTGTACAAGACAATCGTCGCAAAAATGGCGGCAGCTGCGTTTGTCCGCGATACTGGATGACATAATTAAATAACTGTAGGCCTACACAAAATATTGATTTGAGTTTTAATATTTTATTAATCCCACTTGCCTAAAATCATTATTAGGGATGCTATACTCAATAAAATGTTTGTCATGGCTTTGGTGTGCTTGGCCCTATACTTATTTATTGCAGCTATACCTTTGTTCTCATTATTTCTTTTAATAAATGCAGAATATAGATATATCTTATTGAATATGACTCATTGACATTTAATTCTGATAACTATTCTGGTAACACTTTACAATAATTAACTAACAATGAGCAATAGATATGTTACAGTGTTTATTAATCTTTGTTGACATTAGTTAATAAAAAAAACACTGCTTATCGTTAGCTCATGTTAGTTCAGTTACATTAAATAATATTAAGAGACAACTTTTGATTTTAATGTATTAATAATGTTGAAATTAACATTAAGATTAATAAATGCTATTTCGGTTTAATTCAGGTTAACTAATGTAGTTAACCAATGTTAACAAATGAATCATTATTGAAAAGTGTTACCCCTATTCCATTATTAGAACAGCAGAAACACAGAATTTGACCAAAAATAGTGAAAACATGTTCAGTGCACTAGCTAATTTTACTTAGACAATTAAATAAATAAAATAGTTAAATAATTTATATTTAATATAGTGTGGATGAGTCAAGAGTCACATCCTTGTACAGCCCAATTCAAACAAGCGATAAATGAATCATTGTGTGACTGAATTTGCTTCTCATCATTCAGATACAGTTTGTTTAGTCTCAAACACCAAAGAAGACATTAAATATTTATTTGTTTCAAGTATCTACCAAGCCCAAGGCCAAATTCAATCTATGGGTCCACCCTCTGATCACAAACTCCATTCCTCCAAAGCAAACTGATAGTCAATATAAAAGGACAAGTGCTGACAAACAGCTCACATTAGCTCTTGAGGATGGATCTTGTCTCCATGGGGACTGTGAGGATGTCCCAGATGTGGATGCTGCGATGGGTCGTCCTGTTGGTCGGGCTGCAGTCCGTACGCACAGGTAAGTAGACTACAACTGAAAAAAGAACAAAAACAAAATGCATAGAAAAGCTCAAAATTCTTAAAATGAACATCCAAAATAAATCTCTGTTTAAAGACTTTATGGGAGATTATGGAGACGGTATGAACAATCCTATGGACTTTACCTGGCCGCCAACAACAACACCAGGTAAATATTTAATTGTCTTTACATGTATGTATTATCAAGACATATTGATTGCATTGATATAGATTTGTAATGTACCAAATAAATTAATAGATGTCACATTCCACAACAAGTATACCTTAAAACTTTGAAGTCAATACAAATATATTCAAGAATTATGTATCAAATATTTAGATTTAAATTTATCATTGATGAAAAAAAAAGCTATAAAAACTGTTCTCTTTGTCTGGAAAAAATAATAATTTGAGGTATAAAAGTGTGCAGTAATAAAATACAACATAAAATGTATTTTTGGTCACACTTTAGATTAGAGTCCAATTCTCACTAGTAACTAACTATGACTTTGCCTCAATAAACTCCTGATTACTGCTTATTAATAGTTAGTAAGGTAGTTGTTAAGTTAACTGTAGGTATTGGGTATGATTGTGGGATGTAGAATATGGTCAGTGCATAATAAGGTATTAATATGTGCTTTATAAGTACTAATAAACAGCCAATATCCTGCTAATATGCATGCTAATAAGGAACTATTTAACAGCGAGAAATTGGACCCTAAACTAAAGTGTTACTGTATTTTTCTCAGAATTACAAAAATGTAACATTTTACATAAAACAATTTAATTTAATACGAATGATAATAAATCATAACCTTGCAAGATTTTTACCATGGTTCAAAGACAATTGTAACACTAATTATGGAATAGAAAATTGAATAAACTTTTAAACATGTAGTTCACAGTCATTTCTAAATTTGTATCTAACTGTGAATAAAGTAATAATTATGATGTATACACCACTTAAACTTTTACTATAAACACACATTATTCAGGACATACATTGTTCAGTAACAACATGTTCAGAAATATGCATACACCAAAGACATTATTACTTTTATTTAGTGGGTAAGTTACATATTATTTTACAGTGTCCTTGTTAAACCTTAATAACTATACATTATGCATACTTATATGCATATAACCCTTATCCTTACCCTATAGTAAGTGCATGTAGTTAATTATTATCAGTCAGTACATAAATGTGTTATTTACACTGTAGACACCTTAAAATAAAGTTACACTTTATTTTAAGGTGTCTTTGTTACAACTTACTATTGGGGTTTGGTTTAGGGTTAGTTGAATGTAATTATGCATAATTTATAGTTATTACTATAGTAACTACATGTAACATGAAACAATGACACTGTAAAATAAAGTAAAATAAAGGCATTTGCAAAACTTTAAATGGGAAGGAAAATGTTTTAATAAATTTTTAAAAAATATGACAGTTTTTATTTTTGTCTTTTATATTTAGAGTTCACCACTATGGCGACTGTGATGGTAACAAAAGGTATTTAAAAACATATTTTAAAGCATTTGCAGCATCAGTTTGTACAGTTTTTACACTTTAGGAAACTAAAAAGTATTTACCAACGAGTTTTACAGTTATAAACTTTCTCTCTTGATTCAGTTGAACCGAATCCTGATCATCAGTCCACGATCTGCAGCACATGGGGAAATTTCCACTTCAAGACATTTGATGGCAATTTCTTTCAAGTGCCAGACACGTGCAACTACGTTCTGGCGGTGATGTGTGACAGCACAACTTCTGACTTTAACATCCAAATGCAAAGAGAGACTGTGAATGACTCGATCACTTTTAGCACAGTCACAATAAAGCTGGAGGGGACAGTCATCAAAATCACTAATGGCAACATCACTATGGACGATCAAGCGTGAGTTGATATTTACTTGTTTTTTTTTACATGAGTAACTACTGCAATGTGCAGCTTTCATAACCTCATATTAATTAAGAGACAACTCTGAATATGCTGATTAAAAATGGTGAAGAACAGTGTCCAGACAGCACCTAAAATCTTCTACAATTAGGTACTTATATACAAATATGTTTAATTGAAGCTTCTTACACTTTTTCTTGCAGCGTGTCTGTTCCAATCAATCAGAATGGACTTAAAATCGAGGGAAGTCAAACAAGTATTAAGATCTCCAAATATGGATTGACTGTCTTTTGGGAAGAGGACAACTCTATATTGGTATGATTTAACATCATTATCTTGCTGAGTAAATACCTTTACTATAATACAGTATGTGTGATGAATATGTGAGATAATGAGCCAAATATGTGTTCAAATGAAAACTGGAAAACTGATTTGATGGAATCCGTTGATAGCGGTAAAGAAAAACAAAGCAAAGAGTTTTCGTGCAGGTTCTTCTTCAGAATGAGTCAAGTTGAATCCATAACCCTATAATGAAATCACACACACCCTTTAATGCCATTATATTTGTTTGCACACATTAAAGTAAGACTAGGAAAATTAAACATCAAACAGGATATCAGTTCTACAAATCATAAAGCAAATATTAATCGTCTAAGTAAGCCACAGTGAACCAACAGGTATCTGACAGCTCAATGTTGATTTTAATAAGTGTGTTTGTACTGCCATAAACTAACATTATGACAGACTAATTTTAAAATAAATAAAATAAACTGTATTTGTTGCATCACTGACATTATCTTATAATATGATGTTCCCTAGATTGAACTTGCAGAGAAGTACCGAGGTCAGACCTGTGGACTCTGTGGAAACTACAACGGCAACAAGAATGATGATATTCCTGAAAACGGTAAACATGATGTTTTGATCAAATGACCTAGAAAAACATTTTCTTTACAGATTATTTTGAATGCCAGACGAAATCTAAACACCTGATCACTGTATATACATAGTAATAGACATAGTATGACATTAACCAGCTAAGTCCCTCTCAGGTCCGGCCGCATGGAAGGTGTCCACACCAACTGAATCCTGCGAGGACGTTATACTTCCACCCAGGGATAAGTGCGACCAGGTATGAGACAAATGAGGAGTTTTAGAATCATTTTACCAGATTTTGGGCTGATACAAGTACATTTGTTTTACCTCATTGGCCAGTTGAAACATTGCATTCAATCATTTTTCTTTTTAGCAAGCAAGTGTTTGCCAGCAGTATCTCAGCAGTCCAGGGTTTAGCGACTGTTACAATGTGATGGACATGGGTTCATTTGAAGAAGCCTGTGTGAACGACCTGTGTCAATGTTACCGCAATCACGACTGTCTCTGCAACACACTCACGGAGATTTCACGACAGTGCACACATGCTGGAGGAAATCCAGGAACATGGAGGACAGAGCAGCTCTGCCGTGAGTATCAGTTCTGGAAGCTTGCTATAAACAAATGAAATCAATAGATAGATTTGTGACTTAATATGTGTTCTTCTGTGGAGCAGCAAAGACATGTCCTCTGAACATGCAATACCTGGAGTGTGGAAGTCCGTGCAAGAACACCTGCAAAGATCCAAACGCAAGTCTAATGTGTAACGAACACTGTGTGGACGGCTGTTTCTGCCCTGAAGGTGATTTCACACAATATCAAGAGATGTGCTTTCAAGACTGTTTTTTTTCTTTCCCAAAATAAATGGTATCATGCTTTCTTTTTGTAAAGGCACCGTGGAAGACGACATTGGTCAGAGTGGATGTGTTCCTGTGAACCAGTGCCCATGTGATCACGATGGCACAGTATATCAATCAGGAGAGTCTTACAAACAAGCTTGTAAAAAATGGTAATATTTTTATTAAAATATTTAAGTCACATTCAAATTCATATACATTTACCGGTATACATTTCCCCATACTAACACTGCTGTGTTCTGTGTCAGTGTGTGTGACGCGGGACACTGGACCTGTACACACCGGGAATGTCCCGGAATCTGCTCTGTTGTGGGAGGGTCTCACGTCACCACTTATGATGGAAAGAGCTTCACCTTCAGCGGGAACTGTGACTACATCCTCACTAAGGTCTGTCAGGATATCAGATGACCCACAGATATTTTCTGTCAGGGCGAGATCAATGAAAGTCTTCACTTGTACTCTTATTCACATGGTTTATTATATAACAATCAGAAAAGTGGGGACATTATAATTTATATTCATTATATATAATTTGGAGGTTCTTACAGTCCTTTTTTTTATTCCAGCACTCTAATGACAGTGATATTGCTGTCGTGGGAAATCTGGTAAAGTGTGATCCGGCCGATGACAGACACATGACAGACACATGTCTAAATTCAGTGACCCTTGTCATCTCGGGGACAACTGTAAGTACAAGGTTGCATCATGTTTTCATCATTTCATATTCTAAAATAACCAATATACTTTTTCTGGGAAAACAGCACTAGAATAGCACACTTACTTTCAGCACAGTGAACAGAACATACCGCATACCTCTGCAAAATCCTCCAAGATGGAATTACAAAACATAATTTTGTTTTCTTTTTGTTATTTTATGTGTAAAACAGATTCGTTTTTCCTCCAGTGGAGATGTCACACTAAATGGAAACAGCCCATTAAAGCTTCCTGCTACCGAAGGTGGGTTGTCCAAAATGGGGAACTGTTCTATTTAAAGGATGTTAACAATAAAATTGATATATAATTAATTAAATGCATTTCTCTGAAAAACCCAAAGCTCTATTTTTCAAATGTAAATATACTGTAAATATATTAGCATTAACAAAAGTCATTGTTGACTAGTTGTTTTGTATCCTAACCACCTATGTTGTTGTCCCAGGTCCTGTGAGCATCTTCCAGCCCTCCTCCTCCTTCATTATTGCTGATATGAAGAGTCTTCGTCTAGAGATCCAGTTGGCTCCAGTCATGCAGTTGTATATTGTAGCCAGCACTGAAGAGAAAGGAAAAATGAGTGGTAAGTTGTCAAAAATATGTGATTAGAATCCATTTTTGTTACAGAAGGTAGAGGAGAAGTTAAAATTGTAATTTATAAAACTAAAATATTATAAACTGACCAATAGTTAAAACATATATTAAGTAATTGACGGTGCCGTTGAATTATTAGAAAAATAAAGCACACCCGAGGTGGTATTGCAGCAACAACGCGAAGCGAATAATTCAATGACCCGCAGTAAATTTTTCCGCCTATTAAAAATGTACAACTTTTAGTTATAAAACTACAAATTTTAGTTGTAAAACTATATTACGTTACCACACCTCAAAACATTGTTCAGATGATGTATTTCAAGACAGTTTTCAGGTTTTTCTCTTTTAAAACGCTCTTGTGTGTAGGACTAATTTCTTACGCATCCAATCCGAAGCCTCCATTGCCAAGTCCAAAACGTCATTTTAGAGCTAGTAACGGAGAATTGAGCCACTGATAACAGACTAATGCAGTTTATTAAAGCAGTTATTAAAAAGAAAGAGAGAGAGAGAGAGAGAGAGAGAGAGAGAGAGAGAGAGAGAGAGAGAGAGAGAGAGAGAGGGAGAGAGAGAGAGGGAGAGATTCTATGCGCGTGTGTCAGTACTGTATGTGTGTGCATTTGAGTGGAGAGAGAGTGCGAGAAAGAGAGTATGTGTTGTTGTCCGTACATAATAAAACGTAATTCTGTGGCAAAAAACATGGAAATAATTTGTTGGTTTTATCCTATTGTTTACTATATCTATTTGCTTTGTCAGTGTTGTTGCGGGTTTTGGTTTTTCTGCTGTTGCAACCTGTAAAGACCTTTGAAATAACTAAAATCATTTGGCGAAGTGATATGGAACTGTAATGCGGTCAAGACCTGCCTGGAACTACTTTAGCCGTGCTATCCCTGAAAATAATTGCACACCTTAGAATGTTCATCAACCAATCAGATTCAAGCATTCAACAGCCCTGTAGTGTAATACAAAATAATGTTTATGACTCCTTTCAGAAAGAACCTTTTAAAAATGTATCAGTACATAGTTAACGATTTATACAATGTCTGTAATTCATTCACTATTTTTAATTCTACACATTGCTTATTTCAGGTCTCTGTGGAAACTATAATGATGTCCAAACAGACGACTTTAAAACAGAATCAGGCATCATAGAGGGCACTCCAATAACTTTTGTCAACTTTTGGAAGAAAAACCCATACAGCTGTCCAGATCTTGAAAACACTTTTGACAACCCCTGTAGTCTGAGTGTGGACACAGGTATACACATTATTACAAACATTAAGAAATAACAATAAAAAAGAGTCATATATGCAATAATTTATGTTGCAAATATTACAGAACTATGTCAAGTCTTTATTCTTTCCATTCAGAGAAACTTGCTAAAGACTGGTGTTCCCGTCTCACAAACCCAAATGGCACCTTCTCCCAATGTCATTCAGAAATATGTCCTGAGATTTACTACCAAGTGAGTGTTTTTGCACAGAACACTTTTCTCTTTTAAAATTAACTGTATATGCAGACTGATCTCATGAAATGGCGTATGTATGACACGCCAATTCGTATTTCCATTTTTGGCGTGCTATCAACACGCATAATCGCTTTTCAGCGTGTTTATCAACGCCTTTGACTTAACGTTATATTACTGTATTATGTACATATAAATATATGACCTACCCCAACCCCGTCCCTAAACCTACCCGTCACTGGGGTTAATACCATTTATGAGTCTTCTCCTACCATCCTAGGAAAAGAAATATCGCTCCACAGATGTAGAATATAGATTTTGCTTCGTTTCGCTCGGACATTTAACGGCGTACACATACACGCGGAATCACTCGGACGTTTAATGGCGTAGACATACACGCAAAAGATTTCGGCGTGGACATACACGCGGATAGCTCAAAATGCGTATAGATAACACGCCACTTGAATTGAAAGTGGCGTGTATGTTTACGCAAAGTCATGATGTCATGTTGCTATATGTATGAATGAAATATAATTGAATCTGGGTTTCATCCTTTGCAGTGGTGCGTCTATGACACCTGCAAATGTTCAGATATTAGGAAGTGTATGTGTGCGGCCGTGTCCACTTATGCCCACGCGTGTGCTGCCAAAGGAGTCATTCTCCAGGGCTGGATGGATTCAGACCCCTGTGGTGAGTTCTATATAATTATTCATGTACTGTATTTGAATCATATTCTGTTGATTTGGAAATGAAACAATGAATAATAATAAAAGTGCGTTTATCTGTGCTCAGTATCCGAGTGTCCAGAAAACATGAAGTACTCCTACGATGTGAAAAGCTGTGGAAGCACCTGCCGTTCTCTCAGTGGTGAAGATAACACCTGCCAAGGGTCCTTCACACCTGTAGACGGCTGTGTCTGTACTGAGGGAACACACCTTAATGAAGACGGCAGCTGTGTACATGCTGACCAGTGTCCTTGTTACAAAGGCGACAAGGTCATAGAGCCATCAGGAGTATCCCACATAGATGGTGTAGCATGGTATATGAGTTCCTTATTTCATACCCAATGCATTGTTGACAGAATATGAATGATAACTCTTGATGACCATTAGTAATTACTGATTTGTACAATTTGGTCATATTACAGCACCTGTAACCTTGGCAAATTGCATTGCTCCAGTCCAGAAGGTAAGTTGCAAATTAATTCTGCAATTACACTAGTCAAATTATCACTGGTATGATGAAGTTCCCCATCTATGTGCCTGTTGTGTTTGTAGACTGTGTGGCTCCGATGGTCTTCTTCAAATGCTCAAATTATGAACCTGGAAAAAAAGGAACAGAATGTCAAAGGACATGTCAAAACCAAGACCTAAACAATTGCGTGAGTTTGGATTGGGAAAGCATAACTGACATTTCTAAAAAAGTTGACATATTGTTTTGATTGCCACAAATGGATTTGTAAAAACAGAGCTATGAAAATAAGGAGGGTTAACACTGCTGGACCTTCTTGATTTGTTCTGCCTATAGGTGAGCACAGGGTGTGTATCAGGGTGTATGTGTCCAGATTACCTTCTAGCTGATGGCAATGGTGGGTGTGTGGAGAGGGAAAAATGTAATTGTACCCACAATGGAGTCTCCTATTCTCCTGGGGACCAAGTTCAGCAGGACTGTAACACCTGGTGAGTCGGCATTGATAGAAATAGGAGAGAATATTACAGCTATACCATCACCAAGTGTGCGCTAATTTTTCTCTGCACAAAACAATAAGCAATTGTCAAAACTTGTAATGTACTTTACTACTACTTTAAATGGTCTGACTACTTTAAATTTGAGGTAAGAAAGAAAAAGCTGGTAACGACTGTACATCCAAGGGTTCATTTGTGAATTTCTGTATATATTTCAGCACATGCATAAACGGGATGTGGAATTGTACAGATAAAGAGTGTTATGGCACCTGTACCATCTTTGGCGACGGTCATTTCATGACTTTTGATGGCAGGAAATATTCTTTCCACGGAGACTGTGAACACATCTTAGCCCACGTATGTTTTAATCAATTTGGGTTCTTGCCTAATTTGAGATGAAGAAAAAAAGTACAATTCTAACCTGACACACAATTCATTTGTGCAACCCCTTTAGGATTACTGCAATAAAGACCAGAGTCCATATTCTTTACGCCTGGTCACAGAGAACATTCCCTGTGGTGGCAGCAGCACCATTTGCTCCAAGTCCATCAATCTCTTTTTTGGGGTGAGGTTATTTCATAGCTCGAAATCAGCTTGAGTATAATGGTATTGTAAAATGTAGAATATAGTGATACAATTTATGCCATTGATGTATATATTATAGAGGATGGACATGTAGAAACACAATTACATTCAAAATCTAAGTTTCATTTTTGTTCTTGATGTCATCATAACATCATGAGAGAGTTATATCCAGTTATGTATGCTGTTTATGGATAACTTTATTCCAATGACTACTTAAATCCTGCAGAGATACAAGATGACTTTATCCCAGGAGAATGGGATTAAAGTTGTTGAAAGCAATGGCACTGAATACCAATATCAAATCCATACTGCTGGGATATACAATGTCATAGAGGTCAAAGGTCTTTTGAACTTAATCTGGGACAATAAAACGAGTCTGATGCTCCAACTCCATCCTAAATTTAAGGTAAGCATTACCCCTACATACACAAACACACAATCATCCTTTACACTTTCCTGTTCATTCTCTTACCTTAACATACACGTGATCTCTATTACAGGGCAAGGTGTGTGGACTGTGTGGAAACTTTGATGGTAATGCGAACAATGACTTTGTAAAGCATGATGGAGAAGAGGTCACTGATGCAGTGGCATTTGGGAATAGTTGGAAGGTGAATCCCAGCTGCCCAGAAATGAGTAACTTGATGAACCCATGTGAAAAAAATCCACATCGGAGTGCCTGGGCTATCAAGCAATGCAGCATCATCACAAGCCCTGTCTTTACAGACTGCCATTCAAGTGTATGTAAAATTAGAAACTTTGTGAATTCAGAAAGTTGTTGGTCTTCTGGATTTTGTTTAAATGGTCAGCCTTTGTTGGTTCCATGCATGAAACAAACAAAAAAATCTTACCATTTTACAATTTAGCATTGCACATACAACCGGTTACCCTAAAGGTTCTACTGACTTTCCTATCTCTAGGTGGACTCTGGCCCATACTATGATGCCTGTGTAAGGGACACCTGTGCATGTGACAGCGGAGGTGACTGTGATTGTTTCTGTACTGCAGTGGCAGCTTATGCTGCTGAATGCCGTAAAAAAGGAGCTTGTGTAGCATGGCGCAGTCCAGACATTTGCCGTAAGTCCCAATACTGTTAGAAAATGTATTTATTGCAATCAGAATTCCACACAAAATGTGCAACCTCAGATTCTGTCTAGGCCTCTCCAAACTCATTACCTTCTATTGTTTGATCTCCTATAAACATTGTCATAGTGCTGACTGAATTGGTTGTTCTTGCAGCTTTATTCTGTGAGTACTACAACAACCCTCAAAAGGAATGTGAGTGGCACTACAAAACCTGTGGATCGACCTGCATGAAAACTTGCAGAAACCCAGCAGGAACCTGCTCTAATCAAATTCCTCTCCTGGAGGGTATGGATAATTCTTTAAAACTTTGAAAACATGCTTTTGTACAGAATTGAATAAAATAATACTTAGGGCAAATGTAGCCCAAACTGCAAAATTATGAGTGAATTAGTACATTTTCATTTAATCTTTTTATTCTATAGTCAAGAAACATTGAGTCAAAAGAAATGTGTGTATCTTGTTTATACCATCTGACCTTTTATTATACTCCTAGGGTGTTTTCCTCAGTGCCCTTCAGACAGGCCATTTTTGAGGGAGGACACCAGGAAATGTGTTACAGAGGCAGAATGTCTTTCTCTGTGTACCTATGATGGGAAGATATATACTACTGGAGAAGTGGTGTACGATACCACAGATGGGAATGGAACATGTTTTACTGCTCTATGTGGATCTAATGGCATGATAATAAGAACTATTAGAAAATGCATGACAACAACTATGCCATTCACTTTCACAACTCCACCACAAACTACTAAAACAACAATTACAATACCGACCACCAAGGTTTTCACTTCAACAGCTACTACAGTAACACTAACAACACCAAAAATGCCAACAGCTACTACAACTGCTGTTCCACCAACACCTACATCACCTGGAATTACTACTGCTGTTACTGCTGAAACACCATCTACAGAATCTCCACCTCCCACAGGAACAGAAACTCCATCAACAGCTACAACAACTGCTGTTCCACCAACACCAACAGCACCTGAACTTTCTACTACTGCTGTTACTGCTGAAACACCATCTACAGAATCTCCACCTCCCACAGGAACAGAAACACCATCAACAGCTACAACAACTGCTGCTCCACCGACACCAACAGCACCTGAAATTTCTACTACTGCTGTTACTGCTGAAACACCATCTACAGAATCTCCACCTCCCACAGGAACAGAAACACCATCAACAGCTACTACAACTGCTGTTCCACCAACACCTACATCACCTGGAATTACTACTGCTGTTACTGCTGAAACACCATCTACAGAATCTCCACCTCCCACAGGAACAGAAACACCATCAACAGCTACAACAACTGCTGCTCCACCGACACCTACATCACCTGGAGGTACTACTGCTGTTACTGCTGAAACACCATCTACAGAATCTCCACCTCCCACAGGAACAGAAACACCATCAACAGCTACAACAACTGCTGCTCCACCGACACCAACAGCACCTGAAATTTCTACTACTGCTGTTACTGCTCAAACACCATCTACAGAATCTCCACCTCCCACAGGAACAGAAACACCATCAACAGCTACTACAACTGCTGTTCCACCAACACCTACATCACCTGGAATTACTACTGCTGTTACTGCTGAAACACCATCTACAGAATCTCCACCTCCCACAGGAACAGAAACACCATCAATAGCTACAACAACTGCTGCTCCACCGACACCAACAGCACCTGAAATTTCTACTACTGCTGTTACTGCTCAAACACGATTGATCGAAACATCACCTCCCACAGAAACAGAAACGCCATCAACAGCTACTACAACTGCTGTTCCACCAACACCTACATCACATGGAATTACTACTGCTGTTACTGCTGAAACACCATCTACAGAATCTCCACCTCCCACAGGAACAGAAACACCATCAACAGCAACAACAACTGCTGCTCCACCGACACCAACAGCACCTGAAATTTCTACTACTGCTGTTACTGCTCAAACACCATCTACAGAATCTCCACCTCCCACAGGAACAGAAACGCCATCAACAGCTACTACAACTGCTGTTCCACCAACACCTACATCACCTGGAATTACTACTGCTGTAACTGCTGAAACACCATCTACAGAATCTCCACCTCCCACAGGAACAGAAACACCATCAACAGCTACAACAACTGCTGCTCCACCGACACCAACAGCACCTGAAATTTCTACTACTGCTGTTACTGCTCAAACACCATCTACAGAATCTCCACCTCCCACAGGAACAGAAACGCCATCAACAGCTACTACAACTGCTGTTCCACTAACACCTACATCACCTGGAATTACTACTGCTGTTACTGCTGAAACACCATCTACAGAATCTCCACCTCCCACAGGAACAGAAACACCATCAACAGCTACAACAACTGCTGCTCCACCGACACCAACAGCACCTGAAATTTCTACTACTGCTGTTACTGCTCAAACACCATCTACAGAATCTCCACCTCCCACAGGAACAGAAACGCCATCAACAGCTACTACAACTGCTGTTCCACCAACACCTACATCACCTGGCATTACTACTGCTGTTACTGCTGAAACACCATCTACAGAATCTCCACCTCCCACAGGAACAGAAACACCATCAACAGCTACAACAACTGCTGCTCCACCGACACCAACAGCACCTGAAATTTCTACTACTGCTGTTACTGCTCAAACACGATTGATCGAAACATCACCTCCCACAGGAACAGAAACGCCATCAACAGCTACTACAACTGCTGTTCCACCAACACCTACAGCACCTGGCATTACTACTGCTGTTACTGCTGAAACACCATCTACAGAATCTCCACCTTCCACAGGAACAGAAACACCATCAACAGCTACAACAACTGCTGCTCCACCGACACCAACAGCACCTGAAATTTCTACTACTGCGGTTACTGCTCAAACACCATCTACAGAATCTCCACCTCCCATAGGAACAGAAACGCCATCAACAGCTACTACAACTGCTGTTCCACCAACACCTACATCACCTGGCATTACTACTGCTGTTACTGCTGAAACACCATCTACAGAATCTCCACCTCCCACAGGAACAGAAACACCATCAACAGCTACAACAACTGCTGCTCCACCGACACCAACAGCACCTGAAATTTCTACTACTGCTGTTACTGCTCAAACACCATCTACAGAATCTCCACCTCCCACAGAAACAGAAACACCATCAACAGCTACTACAACTGCTGTTCCACCAACACCTACATCACCTGGAATTACTACTGCTGTAACTGCTGAAACACCATCTACAGAATCTCCACCTCCCACAGGAACAGAAACACCATCAACAGCTACAACAACTGCTGCTCCACCGACACCAACAGCACCTGAAATTTCTACTACTGCTGTTACTGCTCAAACACCATCTACAGAATCTCCACCTCCCACAGGAACAGAAACGCCATCAACAGCTACTACAACTGCTGTTCCACCAACACCTACATCACCTGGAATTACTACTGCTGTTACTGCTGAAACACCATCTACAGAATCTCCACCTCCCACAGGAACAGAAACACCATCAACAGCTACAACATCTGCTGCTCCACCGACACCGACACCACCTGAAATTTCTACTACTGCTGTTACTGCTCAAACACGATTGATCGAAACATCGCCTCCCACAGGAACAGAAACGCCATCAACAGCTACTACAACTGCTGTTCCACCAACACCTACATCACCTGGAATTACTACTGCTGTTACTGCTGAAACACCATCTACAGAATCTCCACCTCCCACAGGAACAGAAACACCATCAACAGCTACAACAACTGCTGCTCCACCGACACCAACAGCAGCTGAAATTTCTACTACTGCTGTTACTGCTCAAACACCATCTACAGAATCTCCACCTCCCACAGGAACAGAAACGCCAACGACAGCTACTACAACTGCTGTTCCACCAACACCTACATCACCTGGAATTACTACTGCTGTAACTGCTGAAACACCATCTACAGAATCTCCACCTCCCACAGGAACAGAAACACCATCAACAGCTACTACAACTGCTGCTCCACCGACACCAACAGCACCTGAAATTTCTACTACTGCTGTTACTGCTCAAACACCATCTACAGAATCTCCACCTCCCACAGGAACAGAAACGCCATCAACAGCTACTACAACTGCTGTTCCACCAACACCTACATCACCTGGAATTACTACTGCTGTTACTGCTGAAACACCATCTACAGAATCTCCACCTCCCACAGGAACAGAAACACCATCAACAGCTACAACAACTGCTGCTCCACCGACACCAACAGCACCTGAAATTTCTACTACTGCTGTTACTGCTCAAACACCATCTACAGAATCTCCACCTCCCACAGGAACAGAAACGCCATCAACAGCTACTACAACTGCTGTTCCACCAACACCTACATCACCTGGAATTACTACTGCTGTTACTGCTGAAACACCATCTACAGAATCTCCACCTCCCACAGGAACAGAAACACCATCAACAGCTACAACAACTGCTGCTCCACCGACACCAACAGCACCTGAAATTTCTACTACTGCTGTTACTGCTCAAACAACATCTACAGAATCTCCACCTCCCACAGGAACAGAAACGCCATCAACAGCTACTACAACTGCTGTTCCACCAACACCTACATCACCTGGAATTACTACTGCTGTTACTGCTGAAACACCATCTACAGAATCTCCACCTCCCACAGGAACAGAAACACCATCAACAGCTACAACAACTGCTGCTCCACCGACACCAACAGCACCTGAAATTTCTACTACTGCTGTTACTGCTGAAACCCCATCTACAGAATCTCCACCTCCCACAGGAACAGAAACGCCATCAACAGCTACTACAACTGCTGTTCCACCAACACCTACATCACCTGGAATTACTACTGCTGTTACTGCTGAAACACCATCTACAGAATCTCCACCTCCCACGGGAACAGAAACACCATCAACAGCTACAACAACTGCTGCTCCACCGACACCAACAGCACCTGAAATTTCTACTACTGCTGTTACTGCTCAAACACCATCTACAGAATCTCCACCTCCCACAGGAACAGAAACGCCATCAACAGCTACTACAACTGCTGTTCCACCAACACCTACATCACCTGGAATTACTACTGCTGTTACTGCTGAAACACCATCTACAGAATCTCCACCTCCCACAGGAACAGAAACACCATCAACAGCTACAACAACTGCTGCTCCACCCACACCAACAGCAGCTGAAATTTCTACTACTGCTGTTACTGCTCAAACACGATTGATCGAAACATCGCCTCCCACAGGAACAGAAACGCCATCAACAGCTACTACAACTGCTGTTCCACCAACACCTACATCACCTGGAATTACTACTGCTGTTACTGCTGAAACACCATCTACAGAATCTCCACCTCCCACAGGAACAGAAACACCATCAACAGCTACAACAACTGCTGCTCCACCGACACCAACAGCAGCTGAAATTTCTACTACTGCTGTTACTGCTCAAACACCATCTACAGAATCTCCACCTCCCACAGGAACAGAAACGCCAACGACAGCTACTACAACTGCTGTTCCACCAACACCTACATCACCTGGAATTACTACTGCTGTAACTGCTGAAACACCATCTACAGAATCTCCACCTCCCACAGGAACAGAAACACCATCAACAGCTACTACAACTGCTGCTCCACCGACACCAACAGCACCTGAAATTTCTACTACTGCTGTTACTGCTCAAACACCATCTACAGAATCTCCACCTCCCACAGGAACAGAAACGCCAACAACAGCTACTACAACTGCTGTTCCACCAACACCTACATCACCTGGAATTACTACTGCTGTTACTGCTGAAACACCATCTACAGAATCTCCACCTCCCACAGGAACAGAAACACCATCAACAGCTACAACAACTGCTGCTCCACCGACACCAACAGCACCTGAAATTTCTACTACTGCTGTTACTGCTCAAACACCATCTACAGAATCTCCACCTCCCACAGGAACAGAAACGCCATCAACAGCTACTACAACTGCTGTTCCACCAACACCTACATCACCTGGAATTACTACTGCTGTTACTGCTGAAACACCATCTACAGAATCTCCACCTCCCACAGGAACAGAAACACCATCAACAGCTACAACAACTGCTGCTCCACCGACACCAACAGCACCTGAAATTTCTACTACTGCTGTTACTGCTCAAACACCATCTACAGAATCTCCACCTCCCACAGGAACAGAAACACCATCAACAGCTACTACAACTGCTGCTCCACCGACACCAACAGCACCTGAAATTTCTACTACTGCTGTTACTGCTGAAACACCATCTACAGAATCTCCACCTCCCACAGGAGCAGAAACACCATCAACAGCTACTACAACTGCTGCTCCACCGACACCAAGAGAACCTGAAATTTCTACTACTGCTGTTACTGCTCAAACACCATCTACAGAATCTCCACCTCCCACAGGAACAGAAACGCCATCAACAGCTACTACAACTGCTGTTCCACCAACACCTACATCACCTGGAATTACTACTGCTGTTACTGCTGAAACACCATCTACAGAATCTCCACCTCCCACAGGAACAGAAACACCATCAACAGCTACAACAACTGCTGCTCCACCGACACCAACAGCAGCTGAAATTTCTACTACTGCTGTTACTGCTCAAACACGATTGATCGAAACATCGCCTCCCACAGGAACAGAAACGCCATCAACAGCTACTACAACTGCTGTTCCACCAACACCTACATCACCTGGAATTACTACTGCTGTTACTGCTGAAACACCATCTACAGAATCTCCACCTCCCACAGGAACAGAAACACCATCAACAGCTACAACAACTGCTGCTCCACCGACACCAACAGCAGCTGAAATTTCTACTACTGCTGTTACTGCTCAAACACCATCTACAGAATCTCCACCTCCCACAGGAACAGAAACGCCAACGACAGCTACTACAACTGCTGTTCCACCAACACCTACATCACCTGGAATTACTACTGCTGTAACTGCTGAAACACCATCTACAGAATCTCCACCTCCCACAGGAACAGAAACACCATCAACAGCTACTACAACTGCTGCTCCACCGACACCAACAGCACCTGAAATTTCTACTACTGCTGTTACTGCTCAAACACCATCTACAGAATCTCCACCTCCCACAGGAACAGAAACGCCAACAACAGCTACTACAACTGCTGTTCCACCAACACCTACATCACCTGGAATTACTACTGCTGTTACTGCTGAAACACCATCTACAGAATCTCCACCTCCCACAGGAACAGAAACACCATCAACAGCTACAACAACTGCTGCTCCACCGACACCAACAGCACCTGAAATTTCTACTACTGCTGTTACTGCTCAAACACCATCTACAGAATCTCCACCTCCCACAGGAACAGAAACGCCATCAACAGCTACTACAACTGCTGTTCCACCAACACCTACATCACCTGGAATTACTACTGCTGTTACTGCTGAAACACCATCTACAGAATCTCCACCTCCCACAGGAACAGAAACACCATCAACAGCTACAACAACTGCTGCTCCACCGACACCAACAGCACCTGAAATTTCTACTACTGCTGTTACTGCTCAAACACCATCTACAGAATCTCCACCTCCCACAGGAACAGAAACACCATCAACAGCTACTACAACTGCTGCTCCACCGACACCAACAGCACCTGAAATTTCTACTACTGCTGTTACTGCTGAAACACCATCTACAGAATCTCCACCTCCCACAGGAGCAGAAACACCATCAACAGCTACTACAACTGCTGCTCCACCGACACCAAGAGAACCTGAAATTTCTACTACTGCTGTTACTGCTCAAACACCATCTACAGAATCTCCACCTCCCACAGGAACAGAAACGCCATCAACAGCTACTACAACTGCTGTTCCACCAACACCTACATCACCTGGAATTACTACTGCTGTTACTGCTGAAACACCATCTACAGAATCTCCACCTCCCACGGGAACAGAAACACCATCAACAGCTACAACAACTGCTGCTCCACCGACACCAAGAGAACCTGAAATTTCTACTACTGCTGTTACTGCTCAAACACCATCTACAGAATCTCCACCTCCCACAGGAACAGAAACGCCATCAACAGCTACTACAACTGCTGTTCCACCAACACCTACATCACCTGGAATTACTACTGCTGTTACTGCTGAAACACCATCTACAGAATCTCCACCTCCCACGGGAACAGAAACACCATCAACAGCTACAACAACTGCTGCTCCACCGACACCAATAGCACCTGAAATTTCTACTACTGCTGTTACTGCTCAAACACCATCTACAGAATCTCCACCTCCCACAGGAACAGAAACGCCATCAACAGCTACTACAACTGCTGTTCCACCAACACCTACATCACCTGGAATTACTACTGCTGTTACTGCTGAAACACCATCTACAGAATCTCCAACTCCCACAGGAACAGAAACACCATCAACAGCTACAACAACTGCTGCTCCACCGACACCAACAGCACCTGAAATTTCTACTACTGCTGTTACTGCTCAAACACCATCTACAGAATCTCCACCTCCCACAGGAACAGAAACGCCATCAACAGCTACTACAACTGCTGTTCCACCAACACCTACATCACCTGGAATTACTACTGCTGTTACTGCTGAAACACCATCTACAGAATCTCCACCTCCCACAGGAACAGAAACACCATCAACAGCTACAACAACTGCTGCTCCACCGACACCAACAGCACCTGAAATTTCTACTACTGCTGTTACTGCTGAAACCCCATCTACAGAATCTCCACCTCCCACAGGAACAGAAACGCCATCAACAGCTACTACAACTGCTGTTCCACCAACACCTACATCACCTGGAATTACTACTGCTGTTACTGCTGAAACACCATCTACAGAAACTCCACCTCCCACAGGAACAGAAACACCATCAACAGCTACAACAACTGCTGCTCCACCGACACCAACAGCACCTGAAATTTCTACTACTGCTGTTACTGCTCAAACACCATCTACAGAATCTCCACCTCCCACAGGAACAGAAACGCCATCAACAGCTACTACAACTGCTGTTCCACCAACACCTACATCACCTGGAATTACTACTGCTGTTACTGCTGAAACACCATCTACAGAATCTCCACCTCCCACAGGAACAGAAACACCATCAACAGCTACAACAACTGCTGCTCCACCGACACCAACAGCACCTGAAATTTCTACTACTGCTGTTACTGCTCAAACACCATCTACAGAATCTCCACCTCCCACAGGAACAGAAACACCATCAACAGCTACTACAACTGCTGCTCCACCGACACCAACAGCACCTGAAATTTCTACTACTGCTGTTACTGCTGAAACACCATCTACAGAATCTCCACCTCCCACAGGAGCAGAAACACCATCAACAGCTACTACAACTGCTGCTCCACCGACACCAAGAGAACCTGAAATTTCTACTACTGCTGTTACTGCTCAAACACCATCTACAGAATCTCCACCTCCCACAGGAACAGAAACGCCATCAACAGCTACTACAACTGCTGTTCCACCAACACCTACATCACCTGGAATTACTACTGCTGTTACTGCTGAAACACCATCTACAGAATCTCCACCTCCCACGGGAACAGAAACACCATCAACAGCTACAACAACTGCTGCTCCACCGACACCAAGAGAACCTGAAATTTCTACTACTGCTGTTACTGCTCAAACACCATCTACAGAATCTCCACCTCCCACAGGAACAGAAACGCCATCAACAGCTACTACAACTGCTGTTCCACCAACACCTACATCACCTGGAATTACTACTGCTGTTACTGCTGAAACACCATCTACAGAATCTCCACCTCCCACAGGAACAGAAACCCCATCAACAGCTACAACAACTGCTGCTCCACCGACACCAATAGCACCTGAAATTTCTACTACTGCTGTTACTGCTCAAACACCATCTACAGAATCTCCACCTCCCACAGGAACAGAAACGCCATCAACAGCTACTACAACTGCTGTTCCACCAACACCTACATCACCTGGAATTACTACTGCTGTTACTGCTGAAACACCATCTACAGAATCTCCACCTCCCACAGGAACAGAAACACCATCAACAGCTACAACAACTGCTGCTCCACCGACACCAACAGCACCTGAAATTTCTACTACTGCTGTTACTGCTCAAACACCATCTACAGAATCTCCACCTCCCACAGGAACAGAAACGCCATCAACAGCTACTACAACTGCTGTTCCATCAACACCTACATCACCTGGAATTACTACTGCTGTTACTGCTGAAACACCATCTACAGAATCTCCACCTCCCACAGGAACAGAAACGCCATCAACAGCTACAACAACTGCTGCTCCACCAACACCAACAGCACCTGAACTTTCTACTACTGCTGTTACTGCTCAAACACCATCTACAGAATCTCCACCTCCCACAGGAACAGAAACGCCATCAACAGCTACTTCAACTGCTGTTCCACCAACACCTACATCACCTGGAATTACTACTGCTGTTACTGCTGAAACACCATCTACAGAATCTCCACCTCCCACAGGAACAGAAACACCATCAACAGCTACAACAACTGCTGCTCCACCGACACCAACAGCACCTGAAATTTCTACTACTGCTGTTACTGCTCAAACACCATCTACAGAATCTCCACCTCCCACAGGAACAGAAACGCCATCAACAGCTACTACAACTGCTGTTCCACCAACCCCTACATCACCTGGAATTACTACTGCTGTTACTGCTGAAACACCATCTACAGAATCTCCACCTCCCACAGGAACAGAAACACCATCAACAGCTACAACAACTGCTGCTCCACCGACACCAACAGCACCTGAAATTTCTACTACTGCTGTTACTGCTCAAACACCATCTACAGAATCTCCACCTCCCACAAGAACAGAAACGCCATCAACAGCTACTACAACTGCTGTTCCACCAACACCTACATCACCTGGAATTACTACTGCTATTACTGCTGAAACACCATCTACAGAATCTCCACCTCCCACAGGAACAGAAACACCATCAACAGCTACAACAACTGCTGCTCCACCGACACCAACAGCACCTGAAATTTCTACTACTGCTGTTACTGCTCAAACACGATTGATCGAAACATCACCTCCCACAGGAACAGAAACGCCATCAACAGCTACTACAACTGCTGTTCCACCAACACCTACATCACCTGGAATTACTACTGCTGTTACTGCTGAAACACCATCTACAGAATCTCCACCTCCCACAGGAGCAGAAACACCATCAACAGCTACTACAACTGCTGCTCCACCGACACCAACAGAACCTGAAATTTCTACTACTGCTGTTACTGCTCAAACACCATCTACAGAATCTCCACCTCCCACAGGAACAGAAACGCCATCAACAGCTACTTCAACTGCTGTTCCACCAACACCTACATCACCTGGAATTACTACTGCTGTTACTGCTGAAACACCATCTACAGAATCTCCACCTCCCACGGGAACAGAAACACCATCAACAGCTACAACAACTGCTGCTCCACCGACACCAACAGCACCTGAACTTTCTACTACTGCTGTTACTGCTGAAACACCATCTACAGAATCTCCACCTCCCACAGGAACAGAAACGCCATCAACAGCTACTACAACTGCTGTTCCATCAACACCTACATCACCTGGAATTACTACTGCTGTTACTGCTGAAACACCATCTACAGAATCTCCACCTCCCACAGGAACAGAAACGCCATCAACAGCTACAACAACTGCTGCTCCACCGACACCAACAGCACCTGAACTTTCTACTACTGCTGTTACTGCTCAAACACCATCTACAGAATCTCCACCTCCCACAGGAACAGAAACGCCATCAACAGCTACTTCAACTGCTGTTCCACCAACACCTACATCACCTGGAATTACTACTGCTGTTACTGCTGAAACACCATCTACAGAATCTCCACCTCCCACAGGAACAGAAACACCATCAACAGCTACAACAACTGCTGCTCCACCGACACCAACAGCACCTGAAATTTCTACTACTGCTGTTACTGCTCAAACACCATCTACAGAATCTCCACCTCCCACAGGAACAGAAACGCCATCAACAGCTACTACAACTGCTGTTCCACCAACCCCTACATCACCTGGAATTACTACTGCTGTTACTGCTGAAACACCATCTACAGAATTTCCACCTCCCACAGGAACAGAAACACCATCAACAGCTACAACAACTGCTGCTCCACCGACACCAACAGCACCTGAAATTTCTACTACTGCTGTTACTGCTCAAACACCATCTACAGAATCTCCACCTCCCACAAGAACAGAAACGCCATCAACAGCTACTACAACTGCTGTTCCACCAACACCTACATCACCTGGAATTACTACTGCTGTTACTGCTGAAACACCATCTACAGAATCTCCACCTCCCACAGGAACAGAAACACCATCAACAGCTACAACAACTGCTGCTCCACCGACACCAACAGCACCTGAAATTTCTACTACTGCTGTTACTGCTCAAACACGATTGATCGAAACACCACCTCCCACAGGAACAGAAACGCCATCAACAGCTACTACAACTGCTGTTCCACCAACACCTACAGCACCTGGAATTACTACTGCTGTTACTGCTGAAACACCATCTACAGAATCTCCACCTCCCACAGGAGCAGAAACACCATCAACAGCTACTACAACTGCTGCTCCACCGACACCAACAGAACCTGAAATTTCTACTACTGCTGTTACTGCTCAAACACCATCTACAGAATCTCCACCTCCCACAGGAACAGAAACGCCATCAACAGCTACTACAACTGCTGTTCCACCAACACCTACATCACCTGGAATTACTACTGCTGTTACTGCTGAAACACCATCTACAGAATCTCCACCTCCCACGGGAACAGAAACACCATCAACAGCTACAACAACTGCTGCTCCACCGACACCAACAGCACCTGAAATTTCTACTACTGCTGTTACTGCTCAAACACCATCTACAGAATCTCCACCTCCCACAGGAACAGAAACGCCATCAACAGCTACTTCAACTGCTGTTCCACCAACACCTACATCACCTGGAATTACTACTGCTGTTACTGCTGAAACACCATCTACAGAATCTCCACCTCCCACAGGAACAGAAACACCATCAACAGCTACAACAACTGCTGCTCCACCGACACCAACAGCACCTGAACTTTCTACTACTGCTGTTACTGCTCAAACACCATCTACAGAATCTCCACCTCCAACAGGAACAGAAACGCCATCAACAGCTACTACAACTGCTGTTCCACCAACACCTACATCACCTGGAATTACTACTGCTGTTACTGCTGAAACACCATCTACAGAATCTCCACCACCCACAGGAACAGAAACGCCATCAACAGCTACTACAACTGCTGTTTCACCAACACCTACATCACCTGGAATTACTACTGCTGTTACTGCTGAAACACCATCTACAGAATCTCCACCTCCCACAGGAACAGAAACACCATCAACTGCTACAACAACTGCTGCTCCACCGACACCAACAGCACCTGAAATTTCTACTACTGCTGTTACTGCTCAAACACCATCTACAGAATCTCCACCTCCCACAGGAACAGAAACGCCACCAACTACAACATTTGTTACATCAACTCTTTTTACAACAGTACCTCCAGTGACACAAGCACCATCAACAATGTTCATGGTGCATACAGAATCAACAATTGAAATGACACATACCACAGCACCTCAAATTATCATCACAACGAGCTGTCATTGCACATATGCAAATCAAACATTCCCACCTGGTAAGTAATACATGAATGACAATTTCAATTTTTTTCATTCTGTTTTGTGATTGTGAATCCATGAACAATTGTAAGCATATCAATGATGCATATTCTGTTATTCTAATTATAGAGTCTGTGATCTACAACAAAACTGATAAAGCGGGCTGGTGCTACTTTGCTTACTGCAACTCCAGTTGTGTTAGTGAAATAACACAGAAACCATGTCCTCAGACTACTACGGTTCCAGTTTCAACTGTTCCACATGACTGTACAGATGTCAACAGAAAGGTTAAAAAAAATTGTTCATGTACAGTTTACATTTCTCAAAAAATGAATTTCAGCTAAATTACAAATTTAATTGAAGATAAGTCCATTGTATTCATCTCAGTTCATCAATATTTTTGGAATCTTTAACAGAATGGAGAGTCATGGAATGAAGGATGTACCACTAAAAACTGCATGAATGGGGATGTCACCACAAGCCCTGTACAGTGTGATCCAGCTGATTCTGTTATACCTACATGTGTCAATGGACTTAAACCTGAGAAGGTTTATTATAACAATGGCTGCTGCACTAAGTATGAGTGTCCATGTGAGTTTAAACCATGCTCTAGAAAATTTATGTTTTATTAATATTAATCATGATGGTTCTACTAAGCAATTAACTAACATTGTCCTTACCAACTAACGTTGTTTAACTTGTTTTCTGAAAATAACAGGTCGATGCAGTGGCTGGGGTGACCCTCATTACAATACTTTTGATGGAACATATTATGTTTTCCAAGGAAACTGCGACTATGTGTTGGTCCGAGAAATCATTCCAAAATACAATATCAGTGTCCATGTTAAAAACTATTATTGCGACGTTACAAATAATTTTGCTTGCCCAGAGTATGTGATTGTGAAGTACAAATCCTATGAAATCAAGCTAGCAAGTAACAGTAAAGTAATGCAGGTGAGTGTCACGACTAAATTTGATCACAAAATTCAAATAAAAATCAGTTTACAGCATTAGTTAAGATATTTTTTTCCTGGCATGTACTGTACCTGATATATATGCAAATTAATCAATATTGAGTCGAATTTAATCAAATTTAATTGCAAGCCTGTGAACCGAAATCGAATCGTGAAAATTGTGTCAATGCCCAGCCCTACTTAACACTGCTAGAACACCTGCACTAGAACTGCAAAAATGTAGTCTAACGGTCAATATTCATTACAACTCAAAAACCCGTGTCACCTACAGGTCTATGTCAATGATGTCATAAAGGTCCCAACATTCTTTAATGAAGACTTCAGAATTACCACCTCGGGCATGGCAGTTATTCTAAACATCAATGAGATCAAAGCTGAAATTATAGTCAGTCATCAAGGTTTTGAGATCAATCTCCCGTTCTCCTACTTCCATGGTAATACAGAGGGACAGTGCGGTGAGTACAGTTTGGTGCACTTGTTGCAATAAATATAACTATGATAAACAGTATTTCTTCTGTGAGACAACAACTTTCACAGATAGAAAGACCGATTTGGAATAGGGATTAGCCTACTTTGTGTTAGCCTAGTATATCAAAATCATCTAGAATGTTCTATTGTAGAATAATTTAAATTAAAAGTACCTAAATAAGAATGTCTAGTGTTTCTGTCAATTAAAATTTTGAAATGCTGTCCTGATTTTTAGGGGTTTGTGACAACGATGCCACAAATGACTGCAGACGTCCCGATGGAACAACTGACCAATCTTGTGAGCAAATGGCAGCCCTGTGGGCGGACTCACCAGGATGTGAAACCCCTCCACCACATCCAAGCGAACCCACTCCTGCTTGCACAGCACAAAGCTGTGAGGTCATCAAGAGCGAGTAAGAAAAAGCAAACAACAATCACTCTGTCAATTTTCAGAAATTGGGGAATTTCTCTGGCACTAGCCGCACCAAAAACAATGGCAAAAACTGTATGACTTTTTAAAGAACCCTCCACCACCATTGGTTAGCAAAATGGTAGTTAGTCAATGTGATTTTGTGTCCAGTCCACTCAGACCACTTAAACAAATTGCAATACCATTTGATACCACAAATGGTACAGAAATCACACACTTTACTTAAATAATGTTTTTAAAAGATTTCAGAGGTCATTTTTTGGGGGGCTATTACCTTTTTTGTTGTTGTTGTTGTTTTTGGTAGTGCTATCAAACATACCACTGAAGCATGTTATGCCTCAGTTTACATTTTCTCCCTAAACTTCTGTATTTTGTTCAGTTTGTTCAAGAGCTGTCATGACATCATTCCCTATCAAAAATACTACGAGGCATGTAAATATGATGTGTGCTACAAGAAAAATGACTCCATGGCCTGTGCCAGTGTGGAGGCCTATGCACAGCAATGTGGCCAGAAGTCTATCTGTGTGGACTGGAGAAACTCAGCCGACCTCAACGGGCTATGCGGTAAGAGAGCAGAATGAACCCACCATGACACAATGTTGCATCTCTTATCTGACAGTATCCTGAATCTCTTGATTGTCATTGGTTAATAGCATACAAATGTGCCGATCAAAAAGTCTACAAGGCATGTGGGCCAAAAGTGGAAAAAACCTGCAGTACAAGGTAACCACTCTCTATAACAATTCATATCCATAATTGGAAATATTATAATACGGAATTGTCCAAATTCACTGCATTAACAATCTTCATGCAATATGCGCTTGGTTTACAACCAGATACAATGAGATGTTTGTGGGAATCCCTGGCGAAAATGATCATCAAACATTCATGGAAGGTTGTTTCTGTCCCGACAACACATATCTAGTTAGTTCAACAACAGATAAATGTACACCTACTTGCGGTAAGCATTATTACTTAATTTATGATATTTGTTATATTAATGTGCCTTGAAGTCAAACTTTTGTTGATACATTTTGCATTCCCTACATGTAGATTGCATCGGCCCTGATGGATTACCAAGACAGGTATGTATCTTTTAGTAGTAGTAATAGAGGTAAAACTATTTACATGACATTTACTTGGCTTGTGAACTTAACTCTAGAGACTAGTCCAAGGGTTGTTAACTCTGGCCCTCGAGGTCCACTTTCAGCTACAACCCAGATCAAACTAACTTTCAACGGCTGTGTCCGAAATTGCCCCTTATACCCTCATTGACTCATATCTCATTCAAACAATTTAATAATCAATAAAAAAGGGATTTATACCGGTATGATATGACGCTGTAGCCACATTGGACAAGCAGTTTGGAAAATGGATGGACGATTCAGCTGTGGGTGCCGTATTCTGGTCAAACATGGGAATTAATAAGGCGCGTGTCTCTTACAGTGCATTATGGGTATACTCTATCCGTTGAGCGTACATCAGTTGTACACTCAATATTGCGGTGCATTGTGGGATTGAATGAGAGCACTCCGTAACGTCCACTATGGTTTCTGACACCACTACAAATGGCTGTCCCCTCAAATAGTGCTCTATTTAAGGGTATAGAAGGCAATTTCTGCCAACGTTTGGTAATCCTAAAGACCTGGGTTAGCTTGTCTAGGTGTATTTGATCAGGGTTGAAGCAGAACTTTGCAGGAAAGTGGACCTCGAGGGCCAGTGTTAAGAACCCCGCCTCTAGTCCTACCAACATATGATTGAAACTGTGTGAAAATTGCAGAGCATAACCATTACACTCATACAAATAGCTGTATAAAAAAACTTCTCTCATTTACTCAAATTTAAAATGGCATTTGAACACAATCAACCCAACCTTACCATCATTTATAATCCCAACTCGCATCTAACTATTATCACCTTACTTCCTCTCCTGTAGCCTGGAGATACATGGATGGTTAACTGTACAACATACAAGTGCTCCAGTGAGAGCTTTGGTGTTGTCCAAGAGCCTATGAACTGTCCGACCATAACGCCCTGTGGCCACAATTACAAAAGCGTGATTGAAAACTGCTGTCCAACCTGCGGTGAGTAAACAAGCAGAATGACAATCAGAGAGCTAAACAGACTAAATTAAATAAACATGACAACAAAACCACCCTCATTTACTGTCCTAATATACATTTCTGGTCTACGGGTGCATGATACATCAACTAAAGGAAAACAAGGTTCATAATCATTAATCGAAATGCAATAACTAGCTCCAAACAACTTTCCTGAAACATCACTGAAGCCACTCAGACAGGGGAGGAAATGCTAACCGAAAGCCAACTAGCAAATTAATCCTTATTTTATGATGGTGCTTCAGCATTTCTAAAATCTTGCTAATAATGAACAGTAATTGAACGCAGGGTAATGTTAACATAATTAGATTTGAAAAACTTTCAGTCCCATGTCCGAGTCAAAAGCAGTGCAATCCTCCACAATCCACTGGAAACCAGCATGCATGTCTGCCTCAATTCCTTTATAGAAACTCATAATGGAACAATTGACAACAATTGGAACAATTCCAATTCCTGGTGGAAAAAAAAAATCTAGTTGAAGATTTATAAGAAACTTTCCAAAGGTAGATATTGAGACTGTGTAAGAGCAGATACTATCTGAACATGTGAACACATATAATTAGAGCCACAGCTGCAAACTTGTTAAAATGCAACAAATATTTTCATAATAATTTAAATAATACTCCCTGTCTCCTCTGCCCATTCAGTGTGTGATACCAGCCTGTGTTCTATGAAATGTGATGTGGGATATGAGTTATCAGCAGATATACCTGAGAACAGTTGCTGTCCAACCTGTGGTAAATCTCAAATTTCATATCTAGACTACTTTTACAACACTTGGAATTTATGATTTCGTGTAATTCAATACTACAAAGGTTTTTAAATTTAGGTAGAGATAGTTATTTAACTTTTAAAAAAAAACTTTTTTCCCTATTCAGTGCCCAAAGACGTCTGTGTACACAATAACTCTGAGTACCAGGTGAGCTGCTGGGTTCATGCGTTTATACTGTACAATTGGTAACATCAACAAAATGGACATTTCACATATTACATTATATGCTTTTCACCATTAAAATGATGGGTTCGTTTTCTTTTTTAGCCTGGAGTTAAAATCCCTACGGAGCCTTGTTTGGAATGTTACTGTCAAATGGATAAAGACCCACAGACTCAACTACTTGCTGTGAAATGTGTTAAGAAAGTCTGTACACCTTGTGCTGAGGTAATATTGACAATTTATGCTTGTGATCAGAATACATTAGGATTTATTAATATTTTAAACTCCAACAATAAAGTATCTGAACTTCTAGTAGCCTAAAGCCTAGTATTTGGATTGGGAGGAAGTTTTGATTTCTGAAAATTACAGTTGTTTTCATAGCAGCCTGCATCATGTTATCTCAAAAGATCAAGTAGAAATGGGTTCCTCATGATACAAATTCAATTTAAAAGTACTCTTTTTGCACTCCAAGGGCTTTGAGCGTGTGGAACAAGAAGGAGAGTGCTGCGGAGTATGCAAGCAAAAAGCCTGCATATATACTGCACCGGACAACACCACACATACTCTACAAGTACATTTGAAATATTCTCAAACTTTTCTTCAACCGCCTATTTCACCAGTCAATGAACCTTGGTAGTTTTTCAATCCTCATGTTGCCTGTCTTCCTTTTTTCTTTTAGGTTGGAGAAGTGCAAAGTTACAAATGCGAGAATGTTACCTGCAGTGAAATTAATGGCATGTTTGTAACGGAGAAGAACACACCAAAATGCCCTTACTTTAATCCAGATGACTGTGAGGCTGTAAGTCAAATATATACTGTACGCTTTATAGTAAAACACGCCTCTGTCAACTGTATGTATTTGTATAGTTAGTTGGGAGTCAATAGAGTTAAATTAAGTAAACATGAAATTGACTGCATTTCCTTTTATTATTATAAAAGAACTATTCATAAGCAATGCATTATTTCAAATTCCCAATTGATAAAACCAAACCCGACCCTACATTTTTCTTTAATTAATATCCTGTTTCACTTGGAAATCAATCAAAGAACAGAAGCAATATATATATATATTTACACACACACACTACATCGCCGATAACTTATTTATAATAAGCTTCAACATTTTGTATGATGTATGACTTGTATACTTTCCACTAATGCTGAAATGTGTCTGTTTTAATATATACAGGGAACTGAGAGATATGATGCAGATGGGTGTTGCAAGATCTGTAAGCTACTCATAATTATTGTCCATTTATATTACCTCAGAATCAATGACCACACTACCAGTACTACCAGTACTACCAGTCCTACCATTTTTACAGCCCATCATAATGTAGATGAATTCTAAAAATGACTTTTTTCATTGCTATTCTCCCTCACCTGTACTAAAGATCAAAGAAGAAATCCATTATGAGCATATAATACATAAAACAATGGATCAGATGTTCCTTGTCACAAGTTTACCTCTTTCTCCTTCTCTCTCTCTCTCTCTCTCTCTCTTATCTTAGGTGAGCCCAAGACCTGCATTGTTCTGAAGAACACCACCCATGTGGAGGTAGATGACTGCAAGTCCATCAACCCCATAGAAGTGACGTCCTGCAGTGGTCACTGTGGTACCCAATCAATGTAAGAGCACACGCATACATCTAATTAATCATAAAAATATTGCATTTTGAATCCTGAGATGAATTGTGCAGCCTTGATTACGCAATAATTTCCCCCGAGTAATAACCATCACATTTATTAGCGCTCGCTACAGCAAAACATGTCACTTTCATGTGAAAAGTCCGCTTGAAATTAAACCCATTACCTTTCCTTTTATTATTATGCAATATTCATCACAATGCATCTTTGCATCATCAAATTCCCAATGGATAACATTAAATCATTGTCCAACATTATCATTGTTTCACAATGACTTTAACATCAGTTAGAATTATATTTTATACATAAGCATCAAAGATTTGAGAAACTGACAGCACACATTGAATATCTTAGATGACAGCAGATAAATCTGGGATTTTTTCTATCTTTAGCACATCAGATAACTCATAATTACCAATCATAATTACTGATTTCACACAAAAGAAATCAGTACAGCAGTATTTGATTAAATATTTTGTTTTGTATGAAAAAAACAAGCTAATAAAAGCATATTCATCTTGGAAACCTGCACAGGTATTCAATGGAAGAGAACATCATGATGCACAGCTGTTCTTGTTGCCGAGAAGAGAAATTCAGCCGTCGACCGGTGGCGCTGAAGTGTGCCAATAGCAGCGAGATCCTTCATGACTACGTTTACATTGAGAGCTGCACATGCACTCCTACCAAATGTGTGGACTAGAAGACCTGAAGACTGGATAAAAGATGCTGATCCTAATCAAACCTTTTCCTTTGATTATTGCTGATTATTACTAAATTACTTGAAATATTTGAAGTAATAAACAGAACAACAACTGTTGATGTTGTGTTTAGAATAATCTAACAAAAACTATTTAATGCTTTTATTCTAGGGCTATGGTTTTCACTTTAAATATAAATATCTAGACTATTTCAATTGTTTGTTTGTTTTTCAAGCTTTTTGCTTTCTTCTATGGTATAATAAAATTTCTATATAATTGTAATTAAATTAAGTGAATGTTCAACACAATAAAAAGTTAACCTGCAAAAAAGTTCATTTGCATTCCATTTTTATTTGATTTTTGTCAGTGAAGTTGTAGTCTCATTCTCAGATGTGCGTAAAAATGTTGTCTCCTCCAAACGAATTTGAGAGAAAAAGTTTAAGTCAAAATCAAGCAACTGTAAAACAACAAACAACTGTAGTCCTCTACTGTAAATGTGAATTTCCGGGTACTTTACTGCAGTCAGCGCAATGTATTAATAGGCCTATCTCAAGATCAAACAACTTGTTCTGACACTGATGTATCCAAATTTCACCCTCCAAGTGTACTAGAAAGGCTTCTCAAAAGTCCAAGTAAAAAAAGTAAACCTATGTACTTGTATACAGTATTATACAATAAACCATACAATAGGCTACCACATCACACACATTATTATGTAAACACTGGCTTTGTAAAAACTATTTCGTGTAGGGAAACAAACACATTTGTCAGTAAGGGGTAAATTAATCAAATAAAATCTTTATGATTATCAGTATCATGTATTGTTTATAACTGCTCTCATAATTGATAATCAACCACTAGTAATCATATTCCCAAAATAATCACGTGTTAATAGCCTATATATAGGAAACCAAGACAGCCAGAGTCTGACAGACTATGAAAGAGAAAATAATTGTAAATAAATGGAGAGCCCCATTCCATGTAACACCCACTCACCTCGAAGTCAAGGAAATTCATCATCCAGTAAATATCCATATGTCCTATGTTTGTAGTACATCAATATTTTGGCTTCACCTGTTGCCACCAAATGAGTTCTAAAAGGTTGCCTCTAGCGGCATCAAATTAAATAGAATTACAAAAATTCTAGAGCAGGGGTCTCAAACTCGCGGCCCGCGGGCCATTTGCGGCCCGCGGGGTGATATTTTGTGGCCCCCTACTTGACATTAAAGTTTAATGTTAGTGCGGCCCGTCGTTGCGTGTGCCGCGTAAAAAAAAAAAAAAAAAAAAATGTATCCCTTATGAGCTACCATAGATAGTCTCGTGACAGCTTACGGAGGGTTTGTTGTCAATAGTTGTCATAGACAACCGCGAAGTACAAACATACTGCGCCTGGAAAAAACGAGCGCGTCGCTTCAATTATGAGCGCGCTTGCCGCGCGCCTACATTTGAAATTACGAACTTGAGCGCGCAAAATATGTGAGCGCGATATGTGAACGGCCCCTTGGCGAGCTACCACCAATCAGGCCACGAGCTACTGGTAGCTCGCGAGCGACGTGTTGGAGAGAGACACTGCTCTAAAACAATGTGAGAATGATCACTTTGAGCTTGTAATATGTGTCCAACAGGTTGATAAGAAGGTTTGCTTTGATTTGTGCAGTCAGTAATTTGAGACACTATACAAAGAATTCAATAAGACGGGCAGACATGACTGCAAATATTTGTATTTCAAAAGCAATAATTGTTTTTCTAAGTATAATAAAAGGAAATGTGCCTTCCAAAAAAAAACATTCAATATCATTAATGTGTTGTATAAAGAAAATAAAAAGGACATAAGCAAATATAAATATCACAAATATGTGTTATAGACAAAGAAAGTTTGTAAAATGAACTTCAACTGTCAGAAGGACAGCTCATGAAGAACCAATCATGTACAGAAAGGTATGTTCAAATTCAGAGGAACAGTTCAGAAGAAACGTTAATAAATATTGAGAAGATTGGATCAGTTGTGCTCCTTTTTTGGAATACTTGAATACTATTTTTTGTGGAATACTTGATGCGGCCCAGCCTGACCCCGACTCTAACTCCAGCGGCCCCCAGTTAATTTGAGTTTGAGACCCCTGTTCTAGAGTAACCCGTTCCATTGGACTAAGAAAAAAGGTTAGTTGGGTAATTGTGCAATATTTCAAATCTTTTCCCAACAACTTGCTCATTTCATAAAACCTCCGCAGTAATAAATGATTTTACAAAATCGATCTTGTAATCACCAAAAACGATTGTGATTGGTCCATTGTATCAAGCGCTGAGAAAAGTTACTGCTACCACATATAATGCAATATAGGAACAACAGATATGGACAGTAATTTTAACCTAATAAGTATCGTTATTAATGCCCATAAATAGCTAAGTAAACTGAAAAAAGACAGTGAATAGTAAAAAAAAAAAAAAAAATGTGTGGAATAAGCGACTAGACTGTTAACCCCTGCACATACAGTACGGGCCAATCAAATGTACAGAGGTGACATGACGTAGTAGGAAGTGTTCCGTGCACATACTGGCGGGAGTTTCGGTTGTTATTAAACAAGGTGACGGGTTACCGACGGCAAAAGGCAAGATATATCAAGAAACAAGTCTTTCTGAAAAGGAACATTTATTATCAAATCATACATCAAATTTGCTTAAACAGGCAAGTGTTTGACAATGTAAAGGTAGACTATACACTTCACGCGTTTAAACGTTGCGATTTCAATATGTCCGTTTTATTAAATGCGAATCTGACAGGTGTTCTGTTTTCTTTGCTTATTTTCTTATTGACTTTATTTCTGTTATGTTGTCCTAATCCAAATATTATTCGTATTTGTTTATTGGTTTTAACATTCCTAAACTGCCGAATAACTACAGTAAGCAGCGAATTTATATAATATAACTTAATATAAGGAATAATACACACTAAATATATATATATATTGTCATCATTTAATCACTCTCGTATTGTTCTCCCTCGTAGGCTGATAGTTTTCAGTGGAACACAAAATGAAAAGCATCTTTGCAAAGACATAGGCCTAATGGCAGTTCATAGTGCTCCAAAAAGGGCAAAAAGCAGAAATGATGCAGATCAAATTCTCTTTTTAGGACGTTCCTCTTGTTTTAATTGCATGTTTTTATGTGACCTTATACTCACAGGTCTGGGCACATAGATGTCCAAGATGAAGGTTTCTGTGGAAAAGATCATATCGTTATCGGAGAGTGATGGTGTAGATGAGCTACAGAAGCATCTCACTTTGTTGTCCGAGGATCAGGTTTGTGTTTCTGTGTGTATAGGTGAAGTAAGATTGTAATCGATGCAAAAGTCTCTAATCATGTCATGTACAAGGCATCACCTTAAAATTATGTGCTGATGACTTTCAAATGTGCTTTTTTTTTGTCCCTCTACAGCTAACAACCATCCTTACTAATAGTGCTCTGAAAGGGAAGGATACAGGGGTCCTGATCAAAGCCATATTTAAAGGTAAGTGTTCATTTGATTTAATTTTAAAGTACCAAATACATCTGTGAATAGAGTATTAATACAATGGTATCATTCAGGGTTATTATAGTAGTAACTGAAATAAAATACACCATCACTTATTTCATTTTAACTAGATCCCAATGCAATGTACTATGTACGTGATGTACTAAAATAATTTAAAACTGAAATAAAAATGAGTAAAAAAAAACAAATTCAAAATATTAATAAAAGCTATAATAATATCTCTCTCAATAATACTAAAAATAACTCTGGTATGATCAAAAACTTTTGCTTTCGCATGATGTTGCATCCATGTCTAATAGGTGTAAGTGTAAAAACTAAAAATTACTCTGTGATGCTTCATCAAGTAGCACTGAATATCAAATTGTGTTTGTGTGTGATGTTAGGTTCACCGGTAAGTGACTCACATGGCGCTAACCGAAGACTGCTTGTGTACAAGCACTGTATTCCACTGTGTGAATCTGGAGATCTGCAGACAGAAGTGGCCTCAGATATCATTGGGCTTCTGATGTTGGAGGTGAGTTTCTTTCTTACCATAACGTTGTACACAAATGAATAGTGACGTAGTAGTGGCTAAAGGTCTAGGCTGGTAACCAGTAGGTTGAATTTTCGAACCCCGTATGGGGAGATCCCTGGGACTGAACTTGTAATAAAGATTCACTACGTAACTTTATTTATTATTATTATTTTTTACACCGTATATTATTTAGTCAATACAACATCAATCCTTCTTTCAAAATGTGTTTTTGTCTTACCCTGATTCACTATGGTAAGCCCATTATACATGTTTATATTTTAGACTGAGTGATGCTTTTCGCTAGCCTGGTTAAAACCAGACCATTCTCAGTTGTAACTGAGTTATGGTCTGGCAAAGCATCATAGACAAATCATTTCCAGAGGGGCGTCACCAACGGACGTCGCGGATAGACCTAAACCCAATCAGAGCGATGAAGGAGATGACGTATGCAGAGCGGCGGAGAAACATCTCCGAGTGTTGTTCTTAGCTCGGTTTTTAACAAAAAGGAAACGTTCAAATCGCTTAAAACAGACGCGATAGCTGATTCGAACGAGTGATGTTCGACGGCGGCATCCATTTTTGTAATGTAAGCTACAAAATCTGCTTCAAAATCCCAGAGCTGTCATCATCGTGTAAAGCCCGCCCCAACGTTTCTGATTGGTGCCTCGATTTCGACGGATTGGAAATGGGCTTGAATGAGCTCTTTGCCAGACTAACTTTCAGAGCAAATCTAAATTTGCCGGAAGTTGTCTGGGTTTTCCCAGGCTAGCTTTTCGGACGAAATTGCGTACTTGCAATTGTGACATAATTGCAACGTAATGAGACCTAACTGCACAACCCTATTGTGACGTAATTCTAAGAGAAACTGCTTTTCGAACAAGAAAGAATGTAGGGCGAGACTTGATTTTATTTTTTGGGAATTGATTGGATGGTTGTGGTTTGCTATTGGTGGATCTTATGTGAGTGACTGGTTGCCCCGCCCTCAAGCCAGTAAACATCATCAGAGAAGAGAAGA